ATACAAGACAAAATTCTGGACCGAATTTTGAATAACAGTTCGACAATTCCGTTTTTTACCAGGCCGAAGTATTTTTTGGATGGAAACAATTGATTGAGAAAAACCCACTAGCTATGGCCGAAAATTGTTGTTTAGGGTTCCAAAATCGTGTTGTTTTATCTGTTAGGAGACATCGGAATATTTTGTGATTTTTGTTGAAGGTTGAAACGAAATTCGATTGTTCTCAAATTTGGTAGTTTTTATTGTTTATGTTTCTTATTATATTTTTTCAGCATTTTTAGAGAAACTTTATTTTTAGATTTATTTTGGCACACTAAAACTCGTTAAATTATTCGAAACGTTAAAGTTTTACACATCGATTATTAGGTGTTTATTTATTTATGGGGTGTAATATCTGTATATTTTAAAGGATTTTATATATATATATATATATATATGTTAAAAAAAAAAAAATTAAGGTGTTGTTTGATAAAATTTAAAATTTTAAGAGCTAAATTTTAAATATTGAAGTTTTTAAATTTTAAGAGCTAAATATTTTTTGATATTTTTTAAAATCTTCAGCGTTTAACATTATTCAGTGATAAATGATATATCTATTACTTAAAATTTTAATCCATTTTAAGTGGTATTTAACATTTTTAGTAATATTTAAATTGCTTCATAAAACTCGTTTAAAATTTTAAGAGCTAAATTTTAAATATTGAAGTTTTTAAATTTTAAGAGCTAAATATTTTTTGATATTTTTTAAAATCTTCAGCGTTTAACATTATTCAGTGATAAATGATATATCTATTACTTAAAATTTTAATCCATTTTAAGTGGTATTTAAAATTTTTAGTAATATTTAAATTGCTTCATAAAACTCGTTTAATTAAATAATCAATTAATCCATTCATAAAAAATCCACTTTACATAATGCATATATATGTGATATATACGTCATTTCCTGTGAAAATCTACATGTTCCTCATATTCTACATGTTCCTCATATTTTGCTTTCACACTTTCAGTCAAACAGTATACACATAGGCTCCACACAACAGTCAATTTATATAGACGTGACCGTGCCCTAAGGGCCTATTTACTAACGTTTTCATTTTCTTACTTTTACTTCCTTCAAAAGTAAAATTATGATTTTCATTTCTAAAGTTAAAATATGAAGTAGAATCATGTTCACTAATTTTTCATGCTTTCAATATTTTCAAAGCAAGAAATTAGAAAGCAAGTTCAATAATTATAATTTTGATTTTGTACGTACAAAATTTCTTCAATCCTTCTCTCTTATTTATGTGACTCACCAGAATTGAACCCAAATTCACTATCAGTATGGCTCCGGCCAACCACCACCCAAAACCTCCATTACCAACACCTAAATGCACCAAATAAATTACAACCAACAAAACACAGAGACACTGCAACCCTAAAAAAAACACCACCACCTCCATCACCACCACCCATCACCGCCTACTGCAAGACTCAAACCATCGACACCCTAGCCGCCACTGCAACCCAATCCAAGGAACAAAAACCAAACCCACCACTGGAATTACATAGTCATAACATCTCCGTCCTCGAAATTGTTGGTTGTTGTCACCGGAATTGTGAATCCTTCATCGCCGGAATCTGTATAATCGTGGTCATCGGAGCCTGAAATCTCCATTTTCATAAATTAAACCAATGAAGAACATGTCTTTGTGTTGATTTAAAAATAGAGAGAAAAGAGGGGTGGGTGATGGGGTAGAGAGAGATAGGAGGAGGGGTGAAAATTGATGGTTGTGGGAGTGGTTGCAGTCGGCTAGGGCTTGAGAAGAGGAGGTTTGATGGGCTGCGACGAGGGTTTTTTTTTTTTGGTGATAAATGATGCTACAGTAGAAAAAGTAATTTCAGTGAGCAGCGTAGAAAATAAGGATTTCTCACTTTCTGTTCTGTTCACAAAATTAGAAAATACTTTCTTAAAATTAAAAAGTAAAAGTATTTTATTAAACATGATTTTTACTTTTAATTCTTAATTTTAATAATTAATAGTAAAAATCAGAAATTATTCATGTTACTAAACATGCCCTAAATGTCTCAGCAATTTCATGGACAGACACCTTTCACCAAAGGGAGCAAAACCATTTCACCCATATCACGAACTACCATTGACTCACCACCCACCCACACACACACACACACACACATGATACTATATATCAAGCGTACAGCTAAATTCAAATTAATTTCACTATCACTTTGATGATTATATATTGTTACATGTGTTGGAACTTGTAATTAATGCTCATAAAGAATATAAATAATTAAGTCGTACCTTTTTAATTGTTTAACCTTTTAAAGCAATGGGTTGTATATATATTTATAACATAAAACAAAAAAATATTGGATAAATGTTGCTAAATATTAGGCAAAAAGAGTAGCAAACTCTGTAAAGTTTATTTGCAAATCATATTGAATAGTACAATTTATGAATCACTATTTAGAGCATATGATTTATATAGAATATGTCACATTTCCATGTGCATGTGGTGAAGGTACAACCTAATAAATCCAAGTTATTGTCCTTACCAAACATCAAGCAGCCACAATTTCATGGAATCAATATCCATCCTTTTTGGCTTTTTTTACGTTGCATTATACATCTAGTGAGTTTAAATAGATAATACAACAATTTTAGATCGTTAATACAATTATTATAAATCGACAACGTAATTACTATGTAAAATTATTAAATTCTTTAATTAATGATATTACAAAGTTACAATAAGATGTAAACATTTTCGATATACACGAACCTACTATAGCCATGTGGGGGCATAAGGCCCCATTGTATTTATACTAGTAACTTTTTCCTTTTCTTTTTTTTTTTTTTTTTTAAATATATTTATATGCATATGAAATTTTAATATTGCCTCAGAAATTACGAAAAAAAAAACTCACCATTGCCACCTTCATACAATTTTCTCTCTGTTGTAACTTGCAACACTCATTTAGAGACATTGTATTTGAACGAATGTGGCATTTTCGTGATGTAATGTATTGTAGCGCATAAAATTGATGCCAAGAAATAGGAGGCGGAAATCCGAATCCAATTTTTGCTCTAAAAAAATCTCACCGTTCCCCCCTAGTATTATTTACATGATTTTATAAACACATGTATGTGTGTGTGTGTGTGTGTGTGTGGGCAATGTGACGATGTTCCCTGATGAGGTCTTGGAGTTTGACCAAATGGGCATTTTAGATCCACATGTTTTTTTTAAAGTTAATGCTGAAACATTTTGTGAGATCTGATGAAGTAATACAGTTACCGTCACAAAATCCCAAGAAAACACAAATAATAGAATCTGCAATTTGATCTCCACACAGTCACACTCTGTTAAGCTGTCTTAAAATAATGACAATCGCATTAAATTAAGAAATGACAAATATACGATCCTTTGTTTTTCTTTAAAATAATCTCTAATATAATTATATATATATATTATATTATATGTTATATTAATCATATGATATACCCATAGAAAAGTACACACTAATTAAGTAGCTTTAGGAGTGAGGCCCATGCAGTATGGAAGATGCTTTTCAATCACATGGAGCTGAGGTGGAACTCATGTCCTTTTTTGGGACATATTTTCTACCGTACTTTATTTACAATTTTTATTTTTATTTATTTTTATTTTATTATTATTATTATTTTTGGGTAATAGTCATTTTTCATATTTCAGATTACTAAAATTGAAAAATACATTTAGTTGAAAAAATATATTCTTTTTTAACCAAATACAAGAAGAAAAAAATTTATGCACAAAAAATTCCTATTATAATGGATAAATTATTACATAATTTAGAATGATTGATTTTCTACTAATCACTAGTTAACACGCAAATAAATGTGTCAATTTTAAGTTATTTATATTCAATTACTGATTCACCGGGATGTTATAGTAATTTATAGTAATAAAAGATAAATCCTAAACTTGTATATTAATATTACTTTCAGGATTGCCTACAAATTAATTTCACAAGTGAACAACAATTTTTTTTATTTTATTTTAAAATTATTATGTTGAAGTGCACTACAATTGTTACATAATAATTATAAAAAAAAAGTGTACAGATTATTGGCAAGTATATATAACTTCAACATAAGAGAAAATTTTAACCAAAAATCTATGCATGATCTAGTAATGTTGAGGTTTGATATAAACTTCATAATATGTACATCTGTCTATATATATATATATATATATTTGAAAGGTAATAGGTAAATGGAGCCTCCTTGTTAAGTTTCAGATCTCAAGTTCGATTTTCTTTAGGTACAAGTAATTTTTTGTGGCCATGATCGCAGACATAGTTTGAATTTTACTCAATTCGTATAAGAAATCACCTTGCATAAGTCCCGTAAATTAGTCGGGACAAAACCCTAGACACCTTGATTATCGAAATATATATATATATATATATATATATATATATATTATTGCAACATTGTTATTAACTTTTCTTTTCTATTTTAATGGTCTTTTATGTGATCACCATAAGTGAACTCATTTCAATTCAATTTAACAACTGTAATTAGAGATTAATTTTAATCAATATTTTTCGATAATTGCTGGATATCGGTACGTGCACGATGGTGGAATGTATAATATTCTAAGATGGAAAACTACCATCCTCAAAAAAACAAAAAAAAAAAAACTGCAATCGGCATACTTTAACATTCTCCAGTAAATTCAGAGGTAGTGTGACTGTGGCAGCTGAAAAGGATAAAATTTTCAGGTCATTAGTCGACAATTCAGAGGGAGAGAGTTTCTAAGTCCGGGAAGCATTTTGGCACAGTAACTAATCCCGTCTTTTACAATAAAACAATTTGACTGGCACTAGCAAAATCGGGTGGAAAATAATTTCATCCAAATAAAGACAATACACGAATCCCAAACAAATCGGTTATATTAACAGCCAATTGACTTCATTTTCTTCTACAGTCTCACCACCGAATCATTCGCTCTCTTTCTCCGACACCCAAACTTTATATACATATATAGAAAAATATACACACAGTCACACACACACACATATATACACATATACGTATATACGTATCGGTATTGCTATTTAAGTTTGTTTATAATAAAGATAAACAAATCAGAACCCAAAAAGAGGAAGGAATGAGAGAAGAGAGAGAGAGAGAAAATACACAGAAAGGAAAGGAAAGGAAAGGAAAGGAAAGGACTCATACATACTTTCTTCTTCTTCTTCTTCTTCTCTCTCTCTCTCTCTCTTCTCTTTCTCTCTCTACTTTCTCTTACCAATCCTCCGTTTCTCCCTCCGTCGTCCACTGCGTTGACGGAGCTCTCATTTCGGCGTTCTTCTCAGGCATTTAATTCTACCAGGTAATTATTTTTATTTATTTTTTGTTTATACATATATTTTTTTTAATTTTATGTTTAATTTTGGTGGCCGTTCCGAAATGATGTTTTTTTTAGCCCTAGATTCTGTTGTTACTCTCATGATCTGATATCATTACTCTTTTATGTTTGTTTCTTTTGTTAATTGTAGAAATGATCTCATTATTAATGTCCTCCGCCTTTTTTCTTTTCCTTAATGTGTATATATACACGTATATATACAAAAATCTGTGTATATATGTTATATATATACGTATATATTATGATCTGATTGTTATTTGATTTTGACCTTTGTGAAATTGTTGTTGTTGATGTTATACATAGTGTTTGATTAATTTGAATTGTGAGGAAAGGGTACTGATTTTGCTTGCTTGTACCATTTATTCAATTTTCATTTATAGTATTATAGATATATTGGTGGATTGAATAAGATGATAGTGAATTTAACGGTGTGATGCTTGTAGGGCAAAGGAGGGATATTTTGGGTTAATTTAGTAGGAGTGTGTCCTCCACTGGGTGGGTTTTTTATTTTATTTTATTTTATTTTTTTTTTAATTTTTAATTTTTAATTATGATTCCAATCACTCTCCTTCCATAGCTACATTTTACTGTTTCTGTCTGATATGTATTGGGTTTTGCTTAGTTAAGGCAAGTTTGGAATACACTATTGTAATTATTATCTTGATTTATTGAAATCTCTCTTTTTTCTATTTGGAATTTGGCGAAGACAAGTTCATATTGTGATTTTGTGAATTCTGATTCTACTGGGATTGGGTGGACGCAACTTCATATTGATGTTATAATTATGAAACTTGGTTGGTTTGGGCTTTGGATCTCTCATTGCTAATCGACACGGATTTATTGCTCCACCTTCTTGCTAGCGTTGAGCGAGCAAAACTGATTGGCTGCTTATTTTGCAGGGGCCAAGGAGAACGCTGAAGTGGAGTCTCTGTGCAGATGTCAAAGTCTCCCTCTCCTGGACCAACTGTGCAGACACCCTTATCTGCTTCTCGGCCTAGGTTAGTATTGCTCTTTTTTGCTTGGTCTCTCTGAACATGGTACTGTTCATTGCTTCCACCTATGAGTAGAGTACTTTAGTGGTAATTAACCTGCTGCTACACTCATCATCTGAAGATAAGCTGTCATGCACTCATACAGAAAACTAGGAATATATAAATAAATAAATTAAAATGGAAAAGAGAATATAGATACACTCTGATATTCACTAATTTCTCATTGATTGTTTAACTCAATTATTGACGTTATATCATAAAATTCAATTTGAAATTCATCAATTAGATATTATTAATTTTTTTTTTTCAGCATCATATGCTAAATTTTTTTTTTTTTTTTTTAATACTATTGGATCACTGTTTACTTCTCAGGAAACCAAATGGAGCAACAGAAATGGATGATCCAGAAAAAACAATGTCTACAGTTGCTCGTCTCATTGAGCAGCTACATGCCAACGTGTCTTCAGCACCTGAGAAAGAACTTACTACAGCACGATTGCTGGGTATTGCCAGAGGGAGAAAGGAAGCAAGGACTCTTATTGGTTCACATGCCCAAGCAATGTCTTTGTTCATATCTATTCTCAGGAGAGGCACTCCCATGGCAAAAGTAAATGTTGCTGCAACGTTGAGCATTTTGTGCAAAGATAAAGACTTGCGGTTGAAGGTGCTTCTGGGTGGATGCATCCCACCATTACTCTCACTTTTGAAGTCAGAGTCAATTGAGGCAAGGAAGGCGGCAGCAGAAGCAATATATGAAGTTTCATCCGGTGGACTTTCTGATGATATTGTGGGTATGAAAATATTTGTAACAGAAGGTGTTGTACCCACCTTATGGGAGCAGCTCAATCTGAAAAACAAGCAGGACAAAGTGGTAGAAGGTTTTGTCACCGGGGCTTTGAGAAATCTTTGCAGTGACAAAGATGGGTACTGGAGAGCGACACTTGAGGGCGGAGGTGTTGATGTTATTGTGGGGCTTCTTTCTTCTGATAATGCTGTTGCTCAATCCAATGCAGCTTCTCTCTTGGCCCGTCTGATGTTGGCTTTCAGTGATAGCGTTGCCAAAGTAGTAGATTCTGGAGCCGTCAAAGCCTTGCTTCAACTTGTGAGTCAGGGGAATGATATTTCTGTCCGTGCCAGTTCTGCTGATGCTTTGGAGGCTCTCTCCTCTAAGTCAACCAAGGCTAAGAAAGCTGTTGTAGATGCAGATGGTGTCCCAATTCTCATTGGAGCTATAGTTGCTCCTTCTAAAGAGGTTATGCAAGGGGAGGGTGGTGAGGCACTTCAGGGCCATGCAACACGAACATTATCTAACATATGTGGTGGGATGTCTTCTCTAATACTGTATCTTGGAGAACTGTCTCACTCTCCGCGCTTAGCTGCTCCGGTTGCTGATATAGTTGGTGCACTTGCATACTCTCTGATGGTCTTTGAGCAGAAATCTGGTTCTGAAGAAGAGTCATTTGATGCGACACAGATAGAAAATATTCTAGTAACACTATTAAAGCCTCGAGATAATAAGCTGGTTCAGGAGCGTATTCTCGAGGCCATGGCCAGCCTTTATGGTAATGCCTCTCTCTCAAGAAGGCTTAACCAAGCAGAAGCAAAGAAGGTGCTAATTGGACTTATAACCATGGCTGCTGCTGATGTGCAGGAGAAACTGATAATGTCTCTGATAAACTTGTGCTGTAATGGGGTCGGCATCTGGGATGCCATTGGGAAGAGAGAAGGGATTCAGTTACTCATGTCATTGCTGGGATTATCAAGTGAACAGCATCAAGAATATGCTGTTGAATTGCTGGTTATCCTGACTGACCAAGTTGATGATAGTAAGTGGGCCATCACAGCAGCTGGGGGAATTCCCCCACTAGTCCAATTATTGGAGACAGGATCCCAGAAGGCAAGAGAGGATGCAGCACATGTTCTCTGTAATTTATGCTGTCACAGTGAAGATATTCGTGCCTGTGTAGAAAGTGCTGGAGCTGTTGCCGCGTTCTTGTGGCTTCTAAAAAGTGGTGGACCAAAGGGGCAGGAAGCTTCGGCTAAGGCGCTAACGAAACTTGTCCGTACAGCCGATTCTGCCACCATTAATCAATTGTTGGCTTTGCTCCTGGGAAAATCTCCAACCTCTAAGGCCCACATTATTAAAGTTTTGGGACATGTACTTACTAAGGCGTCACAAAGCGATCTTGTGCAGAAGGGAGGTGCTGCTAATAAAGGGCTGAGGTCTCTTGTCCAGGTTCTCAATTCCTCTAATGAAGAAACCCAAGAGTATGCTGCTTCTGTCCTCGCTGATCTATTCAGCAATAGACAAGATATTTGTGATAGTCTCGCAACCGATGAAGTTGTGAATCCTTGCATGAAGCTTTTGGCCAGCAATACTCAAGTTATTGCAGCACAGTCAGCTCGGGCCTTGGGTGCTCTGTCTCGTCCAACCAAGACTAAGCCTGCAACTAAAAAGTCTTATATTGCAGAAGGGGATGTCAAGCCTCTGATCAGGCTGGCCAAAACTTCTTCAGTTCATGGTGCTGAAACTGCATTGGCTGCTCTGGCCAATCTTCTGTTCGATCCCCATATAGCTGCAGAAGCGCTGGCAGAAGATGTTGTTTCAGCATTGACGAGAGTATTGGGAGATGGAACTTCAGAAGGCAAGAGGAATGCATCACGTGCCCTCCACCAATTACTGAGGCATTTTCCAGTAGGTTCTGTACTCACTGGGAATGCTCAATGTCGATTTGCTGTTCTTGCTCTTGTTGATTCCTTAAATGCAATGAATATGGATGGGAGTGATGCTGCTGATGCTTTAGAAGTACTTTCATTATTGGCTAGGACAAAACAAGGTGTCGACTTCTCTTATTCCCTATGGTTTGCCCTCGCTGAAGCTCCGTCAAGATTAGAGCCTCTTGTGCGCTGCCTGGCTGAGGGGCCTCCCGCTGTGCAAGATAAGGCCGTAGAAATCCTTTCTAGGCTTTGTGCAGACCACCCAGTTGTGCTAGGTGACCTGTTGATTGCAAAATCAAGATCCATTGTTGCCCTGGCTAATAGAATAATAAACTCTACTACTTTAGAAGTGAGAGTTGGAGGGACTGCATTGCTCATTTGTGCTGCAAAAGAACATAAAATCCAATCAATGGATGTACTTGATGCGTCTGGATATCTAAAACCTCTTATAGATGCATTAGTAGACATGATGAAGCAAAACTCCAGTTGTTGCGCTCAAGAAATTGAAGTCAAAAGTCCTAGAGGTTTTGTGGAAAGAACCGTCTTCCAGGAAGGAGATGAGTTTGAGGTTCCTGATCCAGCCATCGTCTTAGGAGGTACTGTTGCCTTGTGGTTGCTATCAATAATCTCTTCGTTTCATGCGAAGAACAAACTCACTGTAACGGAAGCTGGGGGACTTGAGGCCCTCTCTGACAAGCTTGCGAGTTATACTGTCAATCCACAGGTAAGCACTCATCTAGTCTTTTGTTGCATTTCACCTTCGCTTTTATTCTTTGCTGCAGCTTAAACTTTTGTAGGTTGAGCACTAGTAGACCCATGGTTAGCAAGGTAGTGGATCTAAATGCTGCTCTATCAGATCTAAATTAGTTGCCATATTAAATTGAGACATGGGGAAAATATGCTCCTACTCTTTCTAAGTTCATAGACACACTTAGAGATTTTATACAGTCAAATTCCTGTATAGAGGCAAAAGTCTGCCTTTTCGTATGAGTTGATTTACAGACTAAAACTAAAAATATGACTGTAAAAATTTTCCAACGTGTCGTCGGGTCGCGTTCCGGCACCAAATTCGGGCCACGATATCACATTTATGATAGGTGTTGATGGTTCAAGTTTAGTGATCCGGAGGTGATACATGAGCGGGGGAAGTATAAAAACGACGATGGGGATTGAGTGGGCTAAGAGAAGAGAGAGAGAGAGAGGCCCATGGATGTTTCCAATCTAAAGGCTTTGGTTGGTAAATTTCGTACATAACAGAGTCTGTAATTTTGAATTTAGGTTGGTTTGTTTTTAAAAGTTAGTTAAGGTAGTTGAGTTATCCATGTCCAAGGGTAAATCGGAGAGTTTTTTTCCCTAGTTGATACTCACCCCCCACCCCCCCCTCCTCCAAGGAATTGTTTGCACCCGCCTTAGACCTGATACTTTATGAGGCACGAGGGCCAAGTGACTTACCCACTTGAGCCTTAGGGTTGGTAAATCAGAGAGTTCAATACTGCAACAAGGATAAAAAGATAAATTAAACTCTCAATATTGTGTACTGACCAACCTAGTGTTCATGTGCATTCATTCATATTGTTCAACATGCTAGCATTTTTAAATTGCATGTTTTGATCCATAAAACCGTGTTTTGAAATGCATAAAACTTTTTTAGAAAGTCAAATTCTAATAGAACTAGGACTGGGAGTTCGATCTATTGAACGATCACTCGAGGCTCACTTGACTAGTTTTGATCGAATCTTTCGTCGGTAATCGAATTTTGTGGAAAGGCTTTTTTCAAATCTGGTTTGAAAATTTTAAACCTAAAATTATCAGTCTCCAAGGTCTATAAATAAGACCCTGAGTCTTAAGGAAACCTGTTCCAAGAGAATACAAGTATATGTAAGCTTACATCAAGCACATAAATCATATATTGAGCGTGATATATTTGTGAAGGTAATTTTAGAGTGCATTCTTGCAATCCAATTGCTAGAACTTTGTTTCTTTCGTTCATCATCCATGCATCAAGAATTTCAACACTACACCAAGTTTCACACAACAAACAACCAATTGGAAGGAGCTTGTCATTGGAGATCAATTCCTATACTCGGGAGGTTTGAGGTCTGCTCTCTCCATAGGAGATTGGTGGATGTGAATGGTATCTCCTTTCCTTGGAAGCCATTTGGCGAACACAAGCCTCGTTAATTGGTGTGCATGTGCAAGAGGGCTTAGGAGAGTGAATCATCTCCTCTTGCACTGTCTAGTGGCTAGGGAGGGATGAACTGACTCCTTGCCTTGTTTGGAGTGAGTTGGGTCATGCTGCTTTGCACAAGGAGCATGCTTGAAGCTTGGAGAGGGTGTATAATGGGGAGCTTGCGCTGTCCAGTGGCTAAGGAGGGATGAACTTACTCCTCGCCTTTTTTGGAGTGAGTTGGGTCATGCTGCTTTCCACAAGGTGCATGCTTTAAGCTTGGAGAGGGTGTATAATGGGGAGGCAAGCTTGAGATGCTTGGAGGGTTGCCCCACTTTGTTTGTGGTGGGGTCTTTGGCAGAAGAGGAATAGGAGTTCCTTTGAAGTGGAGGAGACTCCTATTTGGGCGCTAAAATTCTATATTCTTAGTTCTTTATTTTTTTGGATTCATGGTGAGTATTGTAAATTTGTGGAGGATATCATGTATTTTTCGGATAGCTTGAGATTGTAGTGGATCTTTTGATTTTGTGCAGTTATATATGAGTACACTCCCCCTCTTGAGCACTCTTCTATAATATCTTTGCTTGTCAAAAAGAATATAAACGAGAAGAAAAAAAGAGCGAATCGCGTGAGTTCATTGACTGGCATGGATTGTCTGGCATGAGTCTGGGTCAGAGGTAATCAGGGAACTCTTGGGTTAGAGTTTGGTTTCTAGTATAAGCCTTTCTTCTGATTAGTGACTTTGATCTGCTTTGAATGCTCCTGTGATTTTTTCCCGTTGGGGATTTTCACATAAAATCTGTGTGTTTCATGTGTAAATTGAATGGTTTTTATTTTTATTCACTTAATTATTTTACATGCATGATGGACAGATTGTTGAAATTGTTTCCTAGTTAATTCACCAATTTTTAAAATTTCAAGTAGAGTTTGTTTTAATTTAAAAATTAGTTATTTTTAGAAGGTAAAAGTTAAACATGACCTATTCACCCTCTTTTTAGATTCTGGGCTTTGCATACTCTGACGTATCAGCGCCTCTGGTCTCGTTCCGTAATTTTTTAGCTTCAAATCAACCAGTGCTTTGAAATGGACTGCTTTATGTCATATAGAACACCCAAGGATGTGGAGGCCAACAGGACTGTAGGGACCTAGAGCTAATAGCAATTCAGTTAGGGGTGCTAGCCCGCAGGGCCTAAATCACCAGGAGTGCAGGCTTAGGCCAGCATAGTGTCATTGACAGGCAATTAGAGTTTGAATGTTGATTCATGTATCATCTTTTGATTCTTTTAGCATATATACTGTAAATTTTGTTGTTATAGCGTTAAAGATATTCAACTGAAGAGTTCACTAGAACTTTGGAAATTGACCTTGAATAGCCAAGAATGGAGCATGCTAGTTTCTCAGTCACACCCACAGGTTCTAAGATTCTTGTGTTAGCTACATAGGTTAGATGATTTACATTCTTGGTTTAAAAATGACTTGTTTAATTTGGTTGCTGAACCAAAAGATTTTTTTAATTGACAGGCAGAATTTGAGGATACTGAAGGTATATGGATAAGTTCCCAGCTTCTCGCTATACTGTTCCAAGATGCAAATGTTGTCTTATATCCTGCAACCATGCATATTATACCCTCACTCGCGTTTTTGCTGAGGTCTGATGAAGTGATTGACAGATTTTTTGCTGCCCAAGGAATTGCTAGTCTTGTATGCAATGGAAGCAAGGGAATGAATCTTGCAATTGCAAACTCAGGTGCAGTCACTGGGTTAATAACCCTAATTGGCTACGTAGAATCAGATATGCCAAACCTCATTGCTTTAGCTGAAGAATTTTGTCTGGTACGAAACCCTGATCAAGTAGCTCTGGAACACCTTTTTGAAATAGATGATGTGAGATTTGGATCCACTGCACGCAAAGCCATCCCTTTATTGGTTGAACTTTTGAGACCAATGCCAGATAGACCAAGTGCGCCTCGAACAGCTGTTCGCCTCTTGACTCGTATTGCAGACGGAAGTGATACAAATAAACTAATTATGGCTGAAGCTGGAGTTTTGGATGCGCTGGCAAAGTATCTATCTTTAAGTCCCCAAGACTTAACTGAGGCCACTATATCTGAATTATTGAGAATATTATTTAGCAATCCAGATCTTCTTCGATTTGAAGCGTCAATTAGTTCATTGAATCAACTCATAGCTGTTCTGCATTTGGGGTCAAGAAATGCAAGATTGAGTGCTGCTAGGGCACTGCATCAAGTTTTTGATGCTGAGAATATTAGAGATTCTGAAATAGCTAAGCAGGCAATTCCGCCCTTGGTTGACATGCTTAATGCTGCATCAGAGAACGAACAAACTGCTGCTCTTGTTGCCTTGAGCAAATTAAATGCAGGAAATTCTTCGAAGGCTGCTCTGATGACCTATTTGGAAGGGAATCCCCTTGAGAGTCTACGCAAAATTTTGTTATCCACTTCTTCGTTGGAATTGAAGACAAGGGCTGCACAACTCTGTTTTGTTCTTTTTGCTAATTCAAAAGTCAGAGCAATGCCAATTGCCTCTGAATGCATAGAACCCCTTATGTCTTTGATGCAATCTGATTCAGATGCAGCTGTAGAATCTGCTGTTTTAGCTTTTGAGAGATTGTTGGATGATGAACAACAAGTGGAGCTTATGGCAGCCTATGATGTTGTGGATCTTCTTGTTGGTTTGGTTTCCGGGTCTAAGTATCAGCTTATTGAGGCTAGCATTTGTGCTCTCATTAAGTTGGGGAAAGACCGCACTCCCCGCAAGTTGGATATGGTCAAAGCTGGCATTATTGATAATTGTCTTGAGCTACTACCCACTGCACCCAGTTCGTTGTGTTCCTCTATTGTAGAATTGATCCGCATTTTGACAAATAGTAGTGCAATTTCTAAAAGTTCAGCTGCGACAAAAATTGTAGAACCTGTTTTTATGGTTTTGCTTCGTCCAGACTTCAGTCTGTGGGGACAGCACAGTGCGTTGCAAGCACTCGTGAATATTTTGGAGAAACCAGAAAGCCTTTCAGCTTTAAAACTTACTCCTAGTGACGTCATTGAGCCTCTGATTTCATTTCTGGAATCCCCATCTCAAGCTATCCAGCAGCTCAGCACGGAATTGCTATCTCATCTTCTTGCACAGGAACACTTTCAGCAAGATATTACAACAAAAAATGCAGTTGTGCCCCTTGTTCAGCTTGCAGGAATTGGAATATTGAACTTGCAGCAGACAGCAATAAAGGCATTGGAAAACATCTCTTTAAGCTGGCCAAAAGCAGTGGCTGATGCGGGGGGTATATTTGAGCTTTCAAAGGTTTTTTTTCAGGATGACCCTCAACCACCCCATGAATTGTGGGAATTAGCTGCATTGGTTCTCTGCAATATTCTACATTTCAATGCTGATTATTATTTCAAAGTTCCTCTGGTAGCTCTTGTGAAGATGTTGCACTCAACACGTGAGAGTACAATTACAGTGGCTCTTAATGCGCTGATTGTTCAAGAATCAACTGATACTTCAAGTGCCGAACTGATGACTGAAGCCGGTGCTATAGATGCGCTGTTGGACCTACTAAGATCTCACCAGTGTGAAGAAGCATCAGGGAAATTACTTGAATCTCTATTCAACAATGTGAAGGTACGAGAGATGAAGGTTTCGAAGTATGCAATAGCACCTCTGGCACAATATCTGCTAGATCCACAAACTAGATCGCAGTCTGGTAGGCTTCTTGCGGCTCTTGCTCTTGGCGATCTCTCCCAGAATGAAGGACTTGCCAGAGCCAGTGACTCTGTTTCTGCATGCCGTGCACTGATAAGTTTGCTTGAGGATCAGCCAACAGAAGAAATGAAAATGGTGGCAGTTTGTGCATTGCAAAACTTTGTCATGCGGAGTAGAACTAATAGGCGAGCTGTTGCGGAAGCAGGTGGTATATTGGTAATTCAGGAACTGCTACTGTCTCCTAATTCAGATGTCGCTGCACAGGCAGCGTTGCTCATCAAAATTTTATTTGTAAATCACACACTTCAAGAATATGTGTCAAATGAGCTTATCAGATCTTTGACAGGTAAGTCACTGCTGAAACATCTCCTCCTTCTTTTACTGTTGTTGAAGGATTTAAATATTAAAGTTACACCCTCTCTAACAGCCTAAGCTTTTAGATTTGATGGTAGTTAATATGGGATCAGAGTAGGTAAGGTCCTAGTTCACCGTCACCCTGATAATTAAAATTGAAACGCGTGTTGGACCAAAAGAAGGTCACATGTGAGGAGGCGTGTTGAATGATTTAAATATTAAAGTTACACCCTCTTTAACAACTTGAGCTTTTAAAGTAGACGGTAGTTAACAACCATGTTTCTTGATATTCTATAATGCAAATTCTGATTTCCTTGCCTGGTGTCTTATATTTTCAAAAACTAAAACACATTGATATAATATTAGTGCATGGATCAGTATGTGGTCACCTGACTCAACCCTGGCTATTAGTTTCACCATAAATCTACTTTCTCTTATTTCATCACTAACAAGTGTCACTTTATAATTTAAATCCTTCAACGCATACCACATAAATCTACTTTCTCTTATTCTATCACAAACAAGTGTCACTCTTAATTTTCTCCATTTAACATTGATTGCTAAACCTTTCTCTTATGTCACTCCTACCATTCATCTTAACATCTCATTTCTGCTACCTGAATGTTTCTTGTTTTCAGAAGCATTTGTATGCTAAAATTGCTACTGATTATGTTTCTAAATTCTAGATTTATGTGGTATGTGTTGAAGGATTTAAATTATAAAGTTACACCCTCTCTAACAGCTTAAGATTTTAGAGTAGATGGTTGTTAACAGTATGGACATACTACAAAGACCTATAGATGCACTCTTAGGAAAAAGATGACTAGTTGACGTAGAAGGCAAGAAACACAGAGCTCGGCTAAAATTAACATGGCATCAAGTTATTAGTAAGGGTTTTTAAAAGTAAAACGTAATAGGAGAGATAACTTTTAATAAAAAGAATGGAAAAAGAGAACTATGTGGCTGACCCCATTCTTTTGGGATTAAGGCAATGACAATCAAACACATACTAAATCGAGAAACTGTAGATCCTAATATTATAAAATGACCAATACATCAAGATACTAATGAGAATTGTGATTGCTTAGGGCTTCCCCTTCCTTTTCTTCTTGTTCCTGCATCATGTTTATTGTGAGTTGATGAATTGCTTCAGCACTAATCCCTCCAGCATCATATTTGTTGTAGTTGATGAAAGCATTAACCTCTTGACAGATTGACATTCTTTGTCAGACCAATGTAATATTGGTGTGTACTAGGGAGATCATGATATTGGATAGCTTATCAATTTTATTTTTATTTTTTTCGGTTTTAGTTTGTGCTTTTTGGGGGAGATTCATAGATGAGATAGGCCAAAATTTTATTAGTTTGGTGTAAATGGAAATTGAAACAATATTATGACTTCATATACTGGCTTATATGCTACATTATATTGGCTTCGCAGTTTTGAAACAGTATATGCTACATTATATTGAAACAGTATATGCTACATTATATTGGCTTCACAGTTTTATTAGACCAGTGTATGATGAATTCCTCACATAAATAAGTTAATGCCAATAAATGATAGATGCTAAGTTTAAAGAAAAATGACTACTAAAACAGAAGAAAAGGCTGGATCATGTATTGCATTTATCTGGACATGGTTAAAGTGAACATAAAATGGTTTTTTGGTTTGATTAAAGAAAATCAAAGGCCCTTGGAGGAGTTGAACTCCCATGCTATCCTTTCTGCACCATTTTTGTGTGGTCCAAGAGGAGTGTCATTTTTCTGTGTGTGTGTTGTATTGTAATTTGGTTGTGGGGGTCAAGAAAAATTCGGTCAATTCTTGGAAATGTTCCTTTACAATTAATCATAGTAGTTTCTGCTTCAAATTTGACTTCTCTTAATTGCATTGTTACTCAGCCGCTTTAGAGAAGGAATTATGGTCAACTGCAACTATAAATGAAGAGGTCTTGAAAACCTTACATGTCATATTCACCAACTTCCATAAGCTCCATGCTTCTGAAGCGGCTACTCTCTGCATTCCCCATTTGGTAGCAGCACTTAAGTCTGGTAGTGAGGCTGCTCAGGAATCTGTATTGGACACCTTGTGTTTGTTAAAACATTCATGGTCAACTATGCCAATTGATATATCAAAATCTCAAGCGATGATTGCTGCTGAAGCCATCCCCATTTTACAAATGCTTATGAAAACATGTCCACCAGGTTTCCAAGATAGGGCAGACAGCCTGTTGCATTGCTTACCAGGTTGTTTGACTGTGACTGTTAAGCGTGGAAACAACCTAAAGCAGGTCATGGGAGGAACAAATGCTTTCTGTCAATTGACGATAGGCAATGGTCCACCACGGCAAACCAAGGTACTAAATTGTTCTATTAAGGTTTAATGTTCAAAGAACTACCATATTCGTGTCTGTATTTGGTTAAAAACCTTTCCATTTCATGAGTGGGGTGTTAAAATGTCCATTTAAACTGAATATTTTAGGATAAATCTGCATTGTTGTTTACTACTTCGCCTTAATATGATGGTGGGTGGGCTCCACATTATTATCCATGCATAGCCAAAGCTGGAATGCAACAGATTTTTAGGAACATGTCTGTTCTTGAAGTGATATGCCAGCAGTTGGATCTGTCATGTCATGTAAACTCAGTATGGCAATTCATACAGAACTTGCTTCATGCTTAAACTCTGTGACCACATTTTAAGAATATTTTAGTATTTTTTATTCATGAAAAAGGAATAAGTTTATAGCAAATTTTTCATGCCAATGAACATTTAACTTTATTGAATACTATTGAGGGTGCCTTGGGGCAACGATAAGGTTATTTCATTGTGACATGGAGGAGGTTTCGAAACAAGGAAACAGCCCCTCCACATGTGGAGGTAAGGCTATGTACATCTGACCCTCCTAGACCCCGCAATGTAGGAGTCTCATGCACTGGGTTTGCCCTTTATATATATATGAACTATTTTAGGAAGTTTTTTTTTTCTTCAACTATTTTAGGAAGTTGAGGTACTCGTATCTGTGCTAGACTAAGTTACAGCATTCAGGGGAAAAAGAAGTTATTATCAGCATACAGCTACGTTGCATCTTCATTATAGTCTCTCTTTTTCTTTTTTTTCACTAGGTGGTGAGCCACAGTACTTCTCCAGAATGGAAAGAAGGGTTTACGTGGACCTTTGATGTACCGCCAAAGGGACAGAAACTACACATCGTATGCAAAAGCAAGAATACTTTTGGGAAGGTATTTAGATTTTAATTGTGATTCATTTAGTTGCACTCTCGTACGGATGTTGCAATTACCAGCCCTGTGCCAATAACAGAACAAATCATTGTTACAGACGGGCACTGTCCTCATTTAATTGAAATTAGAACCCAGTTCAATTACTGGTGAATACTTTGATTCTATGAAAATGATGATAGTGCCCATCATGCATTGATATATCATGCTGTAATTGGCAAGTCTGGAGATTGCAACAATAACATTCCTATTCCAAATTTTGCCCCCCTTGGTCTTTATATGGTGATGGTGGGCTTTTTCAGACGAGTCTCGGGAGAGTGACCATCCAAATTGACAAAGTTGTGAGTGAAGGAGTATACAGTGGACTCTTCAGCCTTAACCATGACAGCAACAAAGATGAGTCTTCACGAACACTCGAAATTGAGATTATCTGGTCCAACAGGCTATCTGACGAAAGCGTGTGAAGGGTTATGAAATTCTTTCTATGAAACAAATGTGCTGATAGAAGTCAGTCCCTGCAAGCATTTGAAACTGATCAAAGCGCGTAAACTAATAATGGTTGCAACTCAATGACATGCCGGGAGGTTGGTTGGTTTAACTGTACGTATCCATTTCCTTTGAAGTTCCATTTTTGTAGCTTTGTAAGATTTTGCTGCCTAAAGTGTAAAATATAGAAGGTGAAGTTAATGTCTGAGGTGAGAAAAATGCTGGAGGAATTGGGTTCCCATGATATGTAGGGAACTTCAAATCTGTTCACCAGTTCCTTGTACAGGTCAGTCTGTAGGTGCTAGCTGTGTAAAAATGTTACGAGAAATCGACATAAGAATAGGATTGGAAGGATCCTTTTCAAAGAAAGTTCTTCTATTGTATTCCTGGCAACATTTTTACAAATACAAGTTACCACTTACAGTTCAATAACTGCTTCCATGTTTAGTTTCTTGCATTTGAATTCCACTGTATTCACTAAAACCTATTTCACATGTGTTCCAAAGTAAGTGTCACTTGAAAACCCTAGTATCAGACATCTGGTAATCCACTCCATCGAGCATATTGGTCTTGTAATTAATTTACTCTTGGAATATTGAATTGGTCTACTGTATTTTACATAGGAATGGAGCACTACTTGATGCTGACAACAACAGATTTACACAAATTGAAATTGAATAGCTTCAACTCATGACAATTCAAATGGATTAGGGCACATGGACAGCTATGCAGATGATTTTATTTTATTTTATTTTTTTATTATTATTTTTTTTATGGCATCTTGCAGACAAAGTTTCTGTGTACAACAACTAGGGGGAAATGGAGGAAAAGAAACAAAAAGGCATGAACTGTCATATATTTATATGTATAAGATTTTACAATATACACAACATTTCCACACTTTTTGTCCACACCCAGGCTCAAACCTCCCTCATCCTTATGCGGCTTAATTTCGACACGAAAACCAGCAAATCAACAATGGCATCTCGCAGACAAAGTTTCTCTGTACAACTAGGGGGAAATGATGGAGGAAAAGAAACAAAAAGGCATGAACTGTCATATATATATATATATATAAGATTTTACAATGTACACAACAGGTGAGATGGGTTAATTTATTTGGTAGGTGAGATCGGTTTTTATTTATTTGATCTTATTGGACTTGAATTTTCAACTCCACAGTTGGAAGGTGTAAAGAAGATACAATCAATTTGGTCCCAGTTGTGTGTGAAGAGAAATAAATTGAGTGTAATACCAAAATTGATGTAGTATAATACAATTCAATTCCGGTGGTCTGTGAAGAGAAAGAGATATAGTTCGTTTGATGGCATGACAAAACCCGATAGTTTGAATTATTCAATTTGATTTTGTAGTCAGACAAGAAGAAAAATAGAAATGTAATAATAGTGCAATGATTAAAATTCAAATAGTTAGTTATTATTTGAAAATAATAATAATAATAAAAAGAGTGTAAAAAGGTTAATGCACATACATCATATACGAGTACAATAATAAGGATTTTTTTTTTTTTTGAAAAAAAAAAAAAAAAAACTCAAAGAAGAAGAAAATAAAAATATGCGAATTATGAAGGGGAAAAATTACCGGTTCATTGAAGAAGGGGATTGCAAATTTCTTTTATAGAAAGTTTGAAGAATAAGAAGAGAAAGAAATAATAATAAAAAAAGACCTTTAAATGGGAGAAATTTTAGGACATTTTGTAAAATTCCACAAAATTAAATGCCTAAACGAAGGGGAAAAAAAAAGTACATGGGATCCGAATGAGATGAGACTGGATTCAACACCCGATTCTCTAACCCGTATAGACATCCCCAACCTGGACATTTTGGACATTTCAAGAACATAAAAAACCACACAACATAGAGCCAATTTTCAAAGGGTCAATAGAAAATAAAGCCTGTTTTGGAGGGACCAAAGGCGGCAAAGCAATGTCCGGCATGTGACTGTCACCTGCTCTCTTGCCCCTCTCTCTCTCCTCCTCTCTCCAATCTCCCACCAATGTCTTCCACTTCCAGGTCTCTGAGATCGTCCATTTCGCCTTTCCGGTCAAGAAAGTCGTCCGCACCGCCGCCAGCGGCGCCGAAGGGCGGAGCTCGACCGACGACTCCTTCTACGACTTCATCGAAGACTACGTCGAAGCCGACGATTTCTACTGTAACTTCGACTAGTGCTCCTGTGCCGAAGGGCGGAGCTCGACCAACGACTCCTTCTACGACTTCGTCGTCCAAGCCTCCGTCAAAGTCGCTAATTTCTCCGATTACTTCGGCTAGTCCGCCGACGCCGACGACCTTAGACCGGACTGATGCGAGCAAAACCAAAGAGAATGTGACGGTCACAGTCAGGTTTCGTCCCCTCAGGTACTGCAAGTTGTTTCTTACTTTTGAATTTCTTGACGTTTTGACTCGCCAGTGATTGGTCTGTTCTCCAGCTGTTGGTGAGTTTGCTTTTCGTATTCTTGGCTTGAAAATGTGGGTTTGAAACAGTGGTAGGGAGATTAACAAAGGGGACGAGATTGCTTGGTATGCAGATGGAGATTATACAGTTCGTAATGAGTACAACACTTCCATTGCTTATGGGTTCGGTTAGTTGCAACTCTCTACGCACATACGACTAGATTACTGTAGTTATTCTTTATTTTTACAGAAGAATATTGGTGGCATTGTTATCAGTTTTGGGTTTTCTTAATTAGTCTCAATATGCGATTTAATTCAATAAATAATGAATGATCACATTGAGTATTTGCTTTATAGGATTTTGAACTATATATCATGAATGGCATTGGAGCTGTTTTATGAAATATTAATTCAATTCTAAAGATGTGCTATTAAATAATACTCCAAAAGCACCTCTATAATTCTATAGGGTTTATGCCTTCCCTTTCGTGTAGGGAACACTGTAATGAAAGTGGTCGCCCGAACCTCCTGTCTCTCCAAAGCGGAAGCTACAAGGAAAAGATTAAAGTCCTGGTTGGATGCTAGTATTTTATATCTTACCTAACAAAAACATAAAAAAGTAACCAAAAAAACAAAAAGCTCTTTTTTTTCTTCTTAATTGGTACTCACACACACGACTCCACCTCAGTGGAAAACAAAAAGCTCTTTGAAGATCTTTAATTGTTTGTTTTCAGTCCTAGTTCTCCAAATTGCAACTTGTATCTCTTATCTTAATGTATATGTACTTTTGTTAATTTATATATTTATATATGTTCTTGAGCTACATCCCCTTTCTTAATATATAATTCTACATGCTTGGTTCTAATACAAGGTCAATTTATTTTTTTCCTAAATGAAGGATAATACAAGGTCAATTTAAAAGCATGCTGGTTCATGACTTTTCAGTATTTTGTGGCACTGAACGTTGCTGGTCTTATAACTGCTTATATAAGAGGATGTTCTTTGAATTTCAAAGGCATTTTTCTATCGTACCATGTTTTGGAAACTTCTATTCACTATACCCATATATTTCACTCAAGTAGAGAGGATCATCACCTGAATATGTTAGTTGTGCCTTGTGGAAGTTCAATCTTAGTGGAAGATGCATATCACTAAACTTCCACACTACTTCCGCACTACGCAACTCATAGAATTCAAAGCTTCGATCTCTCTCCCAATCTAGATAATCGTTAGTTTAATGTGAGAGTCAGTTGACACATTCTAGTTAGCATAAGTATAAAACTAAATCTTGACATATATAATTTGATATTAGCAAATTTAAAATATGTTTGGGGATGCAGTGAAGTTTGGTTATTCATAAAGAAGAGAGTATTTGGAGATGAGATTGCTTATAGGAATAAAGAAGAATTGGTTAAGTGGAGAAGTGTTTCAATCTATGCATACTTATAAACAATTTCATACAACGTGACTTCCAGACAGTTAAGATAGAACATGTCTATCACATGACGTGAATGTTATGCTGATAATAGATGGATATGTGGTAGGGTAAGAGATGATAAAATTAGAAATAAGAACATTTTTGGGATGTTCGAATCAGCACCAAGGAGGGAAAAAAGGGATTTATAAATTGGCAAAGGGTAGAGATAAATCAACTAGGGACACGAATCAAATTAGATGTAGTAAGGATATAAACCACAAAAAGTTTAGTTAAGAATAATGACATATTAGCTAGATGGAAAAATTACTTTCAACACTTTAATGAGGAATACCCTAGAGAAGAGGTTGAAAACAATGAATTTAATGTAAGAATCGTAAATACTATAAACAATAAGGAATAGATTACTCACTAGAAAAGATAGGAAAGAATAAAGTGATTGGGACAGATAACATATTTATCAAACATGAAGAACGTTAGGAAAGGTTGGGAATTGAATGGCTTACAAATTTGTTCAACAAGATTCTAAAAGAAGGAATGATGCCAAAATGAGTGGAGGAAAAATACGATAATACCTAATTACAATAACAAAGGGGACATACAAAATTTGCAACAATTATTGAGGAAGATGAAACTATAGAAAATGATGATAGAGCAAAGATTAAGGGAGAAATCCAAGGTGTTTGATGACCAATTTGATTTATGCCAGGAAGTTCCACAATGAAGGCTAATTATTTAATAAGACGATGAGTTGAAGAATGTTAGAGTAAGTAAAAATATCTACATATGGTCTTTTTAGATTTAGAAAAAGCATACGATAACTTATTGCGATGTATAATTTGGGGAACTTTACAAAGTTTACAATACCTCCAGAAATGATAAATATTTTTCAAGATATGAATGTAAATAACGACACTAGAGTTCCCATTACACGTGATGAGACTAATGATTTTTTTATAAACGTGAGATTGCACTAAGGGTCTGCACTAACTTCATATTTATTCACAATAATATTGGATGAGATCACAAAAAGACTTATAAGGAGACATTTCATAGTGCAAGCTGTTTGCCAATGACATGGTGATATTGGACACTTTTAAAGAAAACTTAGCAATAAAATCAGAAAGGTGGATAGATGGTTTAAAATAAAAATGGTTTAATAGTTAGTAGAACTAAAATTGAATATATGGATGTAAATTTGGTAAATAATCAGATATTGATGAATGATCAGACGTCAAAACCAAATAATAACCTAAAGTTAAAAAATCAACAATTTCCCCATGGATTTACAATTTTTTCCCAGAACCCAACTAAAAAGAGAACAAAGAATAGAGAACCTAAGCGCTCCCATAGGAGTCTCTTTGCCATCGAAGGATCTCCTATTCCTTTCTGTCCATAAGCTCCACCAAACACATAGAGGCGTTACCCTCCAAAAGTTGTGGGCTTGGGCCTCCAAGCCTCAATCAAACCCCTAGAGGACCTAGACATAATCCAATGGACCCCAAAAAAAACTCAACAAAAGGTCCCAACAATATTGGGCCACCGGACAGTGCAACAAAAGATGATCAACCGACTCCTCATTTCTCTTGCATATACAACAACAATTTGTTCCTCCTCCTCAGATTGTCCGGAGTAAGAATCTACCCAAGAACAATCGTCTAGGCAAAAAAAGCCATCTTGGGGGGGGGACATCAAATCTCCCCCGCATAGATGGGACCCAAACACAAGTTTCCATGCCCTCCCCCACAATCTCCTGATGGTAAAGCAAAGCCAATAGCCCAAAAACATCCTCTAACTCTCAATCCTAAAATTGCCTCGAAAAACAGACATCCCAAGTTATCCTCTCACTATCAAGCCGATAACAATCGGCCAACAGGGCGTGTCTATCCGCGGCAATCATAAAGGGCCTAGGATAAATGCGAGCCAAAGAGAGATCCCCACACCAAATGCTCTTTCAGAGTCGAATTCCTCTCCCATTCCCTACTCTGAATCTAATGTGTTTATATATGCAGATTGTTGGATTTTAAAAAGAAATAAGAACAATGAATCCATGTAGCGTAACGGGGATGTTAAGATAGGAGTGATTTGTAGAGATTGGGTTACAAACCAAAATTTGAGAGGGAAATCAAGCGTGGCACCTAAAAGTGATAAGACAGTAGACTTGGGTGGTGCAGACATTATCTAAAGAAGACTTATAGATGCACCGGTAAGAAGATGAAGACTTTTTTGCATAGAGGTTAGGAGATAGAAAGGGTGACCAAAATTAACATGTCAAGAAATCATTAGAAATGATTTTAAAAAGCTAAAGATTATAGGGGAGATGATTTGTAATAAAAAATGAAATGGAAAAAGAGAATTTACGTGGCCACCTCCATTCATATAGGATTAAGGCAAGGATGATGATAATGATGTCTAGGTAGCTAAGATCAAAACTATATTAACGAAGAAAGTGAGATGGTCTGCATTGAAGATAATGTCAAGAGAAGGACTAGGTCAAAATTATGGATTGAGATAATAAGGAAAGGACATGTTAATGAAATAATAGCCTGTGAACTTGAGCAGGAATTTTATTCCAATCCTAGATAGTTAGGATTCTGTTGAGCTTGAGTTTTACTGCGTGTGATAACTAATTGCTTTCGAAACTTTTACATCATGATCACGTCTCCTTATGTGTGGCTGTGCTCTGTCCTAAAGCAAGCCACACATGTTCATGTAATTTAAATTAAAGGTGGTTTTAGGATTTTGCAGGCCGCCTTGCTTCTCTAGTACCATTCATCTTGACAATTGATGGTACTAGAGTTTAAGTTAATAGAGAACTGTGAACTTAGTTATTTATGAATGAACTTTGATCTTGTGATTTGGCCGGCCCATGAAATTCTTTCTTGGCGTGATGCTATTATTATTCATTAAGCTTTCATTAGTTCTGAGTCGTGAAGCACATGATCCAAGTCCTTGTTTCTCTTGTCCCATGCATGTTGCACTTTTCTTTTGGACCGTCCTTTGTACTCACGTTACAACCGAGATCATCGCATGTCGCTTTACTGTCTCTTACCTTACTTCTTAGCATTTTCATATATATATATATATATATATATATATATATATATATATATTTCTACGCTTAAGTTCTCTTTTATTTCCACTCTTTTTTGTTGGGTTTCAGGGAGAGATTATAGATCTATTGAGGAGATTATTGTTTTTTTGGCCTCTTTGAAGGTTTAAGGCGCCTTGTGGCCCTTGTGTTTCTTTGGGTTCCACTCCCCTTTTGAGCGTTTTTAATAAAATCTTACTTATCAAAAAAAAAAAAAAAAAAAAGGTACTTCTTAGCATATTCATTTGCTTGAGAACTATCTCATTTTCAGTTCCTGTGGGACTAGAAAAGCTCTTGCTCACTGCTTTTAAAAAAAAATCTTAAGTAGTAGCTAGTTTTTCAAGTTTTAGTAAAATATAATATGATCTATTTGATAGATTAATAAGAAATAAGAACATAATATGTTCTTTATTCTTCCCCCCCCCCCCCCCCCCCCCCAAAAAAAAAAAAAAAAAAACAAATGGTTTGCATACTTTGCTATTTAACACTTCATTCTTTCCAAGAATACTCTGAGTAATTGTCTTCTGGATTTCCCATGAACTGGGCCTTATTTGGGTGCAGATAGAGTGTTTGGACCAGCAACAACTACTCGGCATGTTTATGATGTTGCTGCCCATCAAGTCGTAAGTGGTGCCATGGAAGGAATTAATGGTAACTACTTTTCCTTATTCAAATATATTTTTCTTACCTAAACCAGTAAATTTCAATTTTTTTTTTTATTTATATTTTTTATATATAAAATATTAACATATCTAATGTACATTTTGGTGCTATGATAGTGAGGGTTTTGTTCTTATGCAGGTACTGTATTTGCATATGGTGTTACTAGCAGTGGAAAGACTCATACAATGCATGTAAGTTACTATCATAGTTTTGTATCTTGTTCTCCCCCTTCCAAAACCCAAAAAATTGTTCATTAAATAATAAAAGGAGGAACAAAAGTAATACAGTATATGCCTCCCAAATTTACAAGATTAATAGTTGGATGCTGGTGTGAAACAAAGTTTATGACTGATGATGGGCTCTCACAAGTGACCAATGAAAGAAACACTGGTTCCATGATTGGCTGGTCGTGGAATATATCTAACTTGAAAATAAGGCAATAAGAGAGGCGTGATGCGTCAGCTTTGAGAGTGTGCCTTTTTGTTAAGCATTTCTTTCTCCATCTAAGGTCAGGGAAGAACCTGAGTAATAACCGCTTTCTTACCAATTAGAAGGAAGAAAGTAGTTTCTCATCCCTCGAAACGAAGCACGCTCTGGTGAGTGAGAAGCAGCCAGGTATAGGAGAAGGGGCAGTTGGCTTTGGAAAGATAGTAGAAAGCTGTGCTTGGTGAATAGTGCCTTGGCCCATTGGAGAAATCAATCTGAGTACTGGATTCTACAATTTACTTCTGATAACATGGTGAAGGGGAAATTCTTTACGTCTTTGCGAAGGTCTATCATCGGATCATCTGCAACCTCATTTTTTTGGTTGCTTGCATTTAGCTCAACAGCACAACAATAAGAAGAAAAATCAAGAGAATAAAAGTAAATTGACTTTACCCACTATCTCTCTACAAAATACAACCATCATTCCATAAGGTGGGTAAAACTGAACTTTAATAGCCTGTTTGGTAGGGATGAAGGCTACCGCCTCCATCCCACAGTCTTACCTCAAGGGATATAAGCCTTCTCATTTAATGCCTTTATAATAATTAGTAGAGAGTAGGGGGAGATAGGATGCTCGAACAATCATTTATATCAGATGCTTGAACAATACAGTATTACTGTATTTATCTTCCTCACGTGTATCTGTAGCACAAGTTTTTTCAGAGAGAGAGAGAGAGAGAGAGAGTGTATGGGGGTTGGTGGCGATGGCGGTGGAGAGTTGGATGGGTGTGGGTGGGGACCGTGAGGTTACTGCTTTTGGTGGTTGAGGTGCAGAGGTTGATGTGGGCGATGGCAGGGCAGGTGGAGGAGAGAGAGAGTGGGGGTCTTTTTTTTGTTTATTGGTAAGGGTAATATGATCATCTCAGATTCAGATTTTTTTATTAAAAAATTATTGAAAAATGAAGTGCAAACATGGCAGGTCACCACTCAAATTAAACGCTGTAAGCTGTCTAACTTCAATATGGGAGGTTGTGTGTTAAGGCCATATTCGACCACTGTGTGTAATTAGGACAAAATTCCCGCCGGGAGGGGGGGGTGAGTGTAATTTACCTTTTCTTTTAGTCATTTGGATATTTGTGCTGGGCAGATTATTTTTGCACTTGTGCTCTTGTAAATAAATGTATACTTTATACATGATTGTCACAGTTCATATATTATGTTTCTTTTGTTTGTGTGCATGTAAACAGTCTTTGCTGCTTGTGCATGAGCATATGTAGGTCTTATGGCCGAATTGAGTGCGATATTTTGTTTGAGTTCGTAGTTTTGCTGCCAGTAGAATTACTTTTAATAAACAGTTTTGCTGCTCAAGTTTTGGATTGAGCCTCATATAATGTTTGTGTTTGTTGTATTATTATAATTTTTTTTTCCCTTAGTTGATACTCACACACCCGCCCCTCCAAGGAATTATTTGCACCTAGCAGGAATCGATCTTGAGACCTGTTGCTTCATGAGGCACCAGGGCCCAAGTCTTTTCCAACTAGGCCAACCCCTTGGAGTGTATTATTATAATTTTTATTATGTCTATTCATTTATTCTTGCAAACTATTAATGTAATAACTGCTATTATTTTTTTTAGGGGGAACAAAAATCACCTGGAATCATTCCATTGGCAGTGAAGGATGTCTTTGGAATTATACAAGAGGTAATTGATTGCTTTTTAGGTATTTGGGAATATTTTGAGTAATTCTTTTTGTTATGTAACTAACCTTTACCTTGGTGTCTCAGACGACTGGGCGGGAGTTTCTCCTTCGTGTTTCCTACCTGGAAATCTACAATGAGGTCAGCTTCACCTTGAATCGGAATTTATGCTTCTTTTTTTTATTTAAATTTTTTATTTATTTAAATGCCATAAAATTTCACATTAATTAGGGGAAAATTGAAATGCTGTATTGCTGTGGAATTTTGGAAAAGGAATAAAGAAGATAGACGATGCTATAAGGAGTGCAACCTATGTTTATATGTTAAAATTGAAGAGAGAAATAGAAAAATGAAGAACACAATGATAGGCACACAAGGCCCAAAGGGCTACATCGCCTTTATTATATTCTCTCTTAACATTGTTTAGAATGAGCACCTCTATTTATAGGTGAAAGAATACAGGAGATACATATTGAAAATACATTGATGGAGGATTTCTAAAACCAATCCCATAAATCACTTCAATTAATATCTTATTATAGGCTAAAATCACTCCTATGATATTCTCATATCAAGATTCTGTCAAGGAGTAATATAAGGGTTCCTATAATAATATTCTCTAACACCCTCCCTCAAGTTGGTACATGGAGATTTTAACTCAAGTGTCCAACTTGAAACTAAATATGAAGTTGTCGAGAGATCCGAGACGAGTTGATCCAGAGATTCGAGACGAGTTGATCTGGAGATCCAAGACAAGTTGATCCAAAGATCCAAGACGAGTAAAGTATAGAGTAGGTTACAATAAACCTGCTTTGATACCATGTTAAAATTGAAGAGTGAAATAGAAAAATGAAGAACACAAGGATAGGCACACAAGGCCCAAAGGGAGGGCTACATCACCTTTATTATATTCTCTCTTAACATTGTTTAGAATGAGCACCTCTATTTATAGGTAAAAGAATACAAGAGATAAATATGGAAAATACATTGATGGAGGATTTCTAAAATCAATCCCGTAAATCACTTCAATCAATATCTTATCATAGGCTAAAATCACTCCTATGATATTCTCATATCAAGATTATGTCAAGGAGTGATTTAAGAGTTCCTATAATAATATTCTCCAACGTTATCAAATGAAAAGAGAGCAGTTATAAAATATGAAGGCAACCTTCGGTTAGAAGACTCAATTTAACCTTTAACTGAGATAATTGCTTCCTTTGAAAACCCATGTTATCTTGGTATGAGAGGTAGTTGTAGAGATTTTTTATGCTAGCACGGCATTATTGTGTCCTTAAATTGGAAATCCTTGCTCTTGTGGAGGTATTCGTAAGGCTGAAATATAACGCATCAAAAGGACATCGACTAGTGCAACCCCCAGTCCTAAAGGGATTCTGGAGAAGCAGTGCTCTACATTGCTCCATAAGTTGAGAGACTAAGATAAATCCGACTGATTTTCTTCTTATTGGAAGCAATACTAAAGAAAAGTGAGAAAGTCCCTCTTAAGGGAAATCCCCACATCTCGTATCATGCTAGAAATGCACTATGGGGCCTTCTCCTGTCACAAAACATGCATACTTGGGGAACTCCCCTTTATCCTTTACTTATACCTTTCTACAACCCCACACTATGTTATCTATGGACGTCCTTCGATGTGTATAACCGCTCTCTCTTTCTCGAATTTTGCTGCCACGGGTCAGCCAAGCTTCTCCACAATCAAACCTCTTCTTTGTCATATCTCAACAACCGTTTTCTAGCAAAGATTGGTTAAATTGCCTACACTTTTTGAACCTCAAGCCTGCACCTTTGAGCCGAGAGCATACAGAGCCTAGTTGACCAATGATACATAAAAGTCCTCACACATCCTCCTAATGGGAAGTCCCTTTGTAGCTTCTCTAACATCTTTGCCACCAAAGATGCAACAGAGAAAAGCGACATAAAGAGCGTCCATGTCTGACGCTGATAGAGACCCAACCTTGGAACCCAAATTCTCTGGCAAGTTGTTCTATCCTCAAATCTCTCCTATGGGAAACAGTTTGGTTTCCACAAATTTACCTGTCCATTGCCTATTGGAACATAGTGATATAAAAAATTATTTTTGCCCTTTTTAATCTGAAATCTCTACATAGCTAAAATAAATTGCTCTTTTTCATATTCCATATTTACGTTTTGTTTCCATTTTGATATTTCTTTTTTAGGTCATCAATGACTTGCTTGATCCAACAGGGCAGAATCTTAGAATAAGAGAGGATGCTCAGGTACGCATGTTCATATTGATAAATTGGCCATCATGATTTTAATTTCAATTCTCTACTCTTCATCAGTAGAAAGACAAACAACATAGTTATCGTCGTCATCATCGTTATCGTCATTTCTATGTACTTGTATTTTTGTGTAGTTCTTGTTCACTTCACACAACATGGTTTTTCATTTTAGAGATGCATGTCTATAATTTTTATTGCTACTTAACGTTAAAATCAGTGATATTATTTTGTGCTGTTGATTTATTGCCGAAAGTTTTAAGCGGCCTTTTGGGAATCGCAAAAAGTGGTTCATCTCAGGACTGACCTCATTTACTCTTTGCTTCATTAGAAACCAACATTGTTTTTGAGAAGCGGCTTGGATTTTTGCTGTACTTTTGTCTAGTTGAATATGATGCCATAATGTGTTACTAGGGAAAATCAATAAGATGTTGTGTCCTGTGGGAAGTTATTACATGTTCTTAGGTCAATCCCAAAGGATATTGTTTTGTGTTGATGGTGCGGTCAATCGGAAATGACATGTCATTTGGAAATATTCTTTTAGAAGTTTCATGGTGTTCTCTCTTTAAAATGGGTCTCGGTGTAGACCACGAGAACCCCTCGGTTTACCTTAGGCTATGTTTGGTAGGGTGGCAAAGAAAAGAAAGGATAACATTAGTTATGAGGGAAAGGGAAGGGAAGGATAATTTTAACCCCTATAGTGTTTGGTTGATTAATGAAGGAAAAGAAAGTAAAGGATAATGTTCATGTTTGGGAAAAGAAAGGAAAGGAAAGTATTTTAGTAAACTTACTATTATACCCTTTTTATATTTTAAAAGATAAATTTATGGGCCCAAAAATTTATAGGCCCATGGATGATGGACCACCAGAAAAAATATATATATTTTTAGGGCAAATAATTTCAGCCTCCCCAATCGCCTCCATCTCTATTCTCGTTCTCAACTCTGAACTTGCCCTCTCTCTCTCTGCAACTGCAAACTACAAAATCTACAAGAATCAGAAGTTCAAAACCCATATATTTTAGTTTATCTATCTGTCTGCAAGAATCAAAAGTTCAAAACCTATTACCTATATCAAAACCCATATCGGCATATCATTTCAGATTGTTCCAAAAATCAAAACCCATATCTTTCAGTTTCCATCGCCCGCTGTTCCAGTTCAGGTTTGCCGTTCGCAAGCTTCAGCCGCTGTCTCTCAACTCTCAAGCTTGCCCCCCTCTCTCTCTCTGCAACTGCTAACTTGTATGTATGGGTTTTGGAATTTGCAGGCAAAGGGTAAATTTGGTATTACGATAGTCTCTCCTGCTCTCTCCTTCACTTTCCTTCCATTTCCTCCCATTTTTGGGAGGATTACAAAAATTACTGTTTAAGTCTATTTCTATCCCTCCAAAACCCTCCATTTTCTTTCCTTTCCTTCCAACTTTCAATACCAAACACGTTTTTTTATCACCCTCCATAATTTTTCTTTTCTTTTCCTCCCATTTCCACTCTACCAAACTGGGCCTTAGTCTTCACTCTTCGACCACCAAGCTAAGTGCCCCTAGATTTTTATTGACCCGATTTTAGAAAAACCTCGATGCATGAAAGGTTTACGATAATTCCCATGTTCTTTAATTCTTGTTTTTGAGTATTCTGAATATGATGTTGGTACTTGGCAGGGAACTTATGTTGAAGGGATCAAAGAGGAAGTTGTTCTGTCTCCTGCTCACGCTCTTTCTTTGATAGCATCTGGTGAAGGTATAAAAACTTGTACTGTGCTGTTTTCTCATTCAAGTGTCTTAGGAAAGTATAGTTAATTTATGCTCAGTGGCTATTTGCATTTTTAATTGTATGCTTTATTTGACGTCTTCCTTGAAAATACAATCTCATATATATCATATATTATATGTGTGTATATATATATATATATATATTCCTTCCTTTTTTGTCTTTGCCTCAAGTTGTGGTGATTTCATGGGCACGAATCTCTTTATTGTTTTATTTGGTCTCTTCTTGCTGCGTTTTGTACATTTGTCCAGTCTTTGTTGCCTTTTCAGTTAAACACTTTCTAACATGCCATTTCTGTTTTTTTCGCAGAGCATAGGCATGTGGGTTCTACTAATTTTAATTTACTTAGCAGTCGGAGCCACACTATATTTACATTGGTAATCAATTATGATTAAATTTCAAACATGTCTTTCTCTATAACTTTTGACAATAGAATCACTGAAATTTTTTGTTATGTATGTAACTTAAGTTGTGTTACATGTTGGTTGTTGAGTAATCTCTTATCAAAAGTGTTAATTAATTTGTCAAAATGCCTATTAAACCATGATGATATATTTATTTTAACCACTAAGTATTTCTTGACTTTGATACTAGTAAGTGCCTTTTACTTGGTATTGCTAATGAGTATATTAATATAGCAGACTATTGAAAGCAGTCCATGTGGGGAGAATCAGGGGGAAGATGTGACCTTGTCGCAGTTGGTAAATACTGCTCTTTTCTTTATTTGTATTTGCAGCAGGACTTCAGTGGATTTGACTTTATTGTAATGTATATAAATGCACTGAAATACATTTTGTTTGTTTGAATCTGGTGCCCAACTGTCTCTTTATTCAACTTTCCTTTGTAGAATTTGATTGATCTGGCAGGATCTGAAAGTTCTAAAACAGAGACAACCGGATTGCGTAGAAAAGAGGGTTCCTACATTAATAAAAGCTTACTAACTCTTGGAACTGTAAGATTGCTCTTAGCTCCTATTCTTTTTCATCTTTTGTTTTGTACATTCTTCATGCTGCTGTTTTTGTTTGGCGTCACGTTTATATTTTTGCGATTGTTGACATTACATTAAAAAAAGCTCACAGAAATTGCTGGATTGAAATTTCTTAGATTTGGAATTAGAAGATACATTTATTGAATTAGAACTGTAAGATTGCTCTTTGTTCCTTTTCTTTGTCCTCTTTGGTTTTTGTACATTCTTCATCCTGCTGCAGTTTTTGTTTGGCGTCATGTTTCTATTTTTGTGATTGTTGACCTGACATTAAAAAAGCTCACAGAAATTGCTGGATTGAAATTTTAGATTTTTTATTATAAGATACATATATTGAATTGCTTTTTATTTTGCAAGTTGTTTACTCAATTAAATATCTGAGAATGGTCCAGGCCATGTAATACTAAATACTAATCGACGACCTTATAGAACTTCTGATTGTTATGGAATGAGAGGACCATATGGGTTTCATTTAATACCAACACCATATGTAACTTCTATGATTGCAATTTCTCTTTTGACCAATCTTTGTGATTTGACTTACTATATAAAATTACAGGTGATATCTAAATTGACAGATGTAAAGTCCACCCATATTCCCTTTAGAGATTCGAAACTCACACGTATGTTGCAGTCGTCCCTTAGTGGCCATGGACGGGTTTCTGTAAGTTTTTGTGAAGTCATTTCTGTTAATAGGTGAAAAACAGTTTCTTTTATGAATTGTTGACTTAATTATCACTTGAATTAGCAATTTTTTGATCTTGCATAAGATTCATAATAATTCTACTTGTTTAGTTGGACTTGTTTCACCCCATTCAGGAAAAAAAAAAAAAAAAAAGTTGGAATCGTTTCTATTGTTTTGCTTTCAAGATTTTGATTTCTTCTTTGAACTTTTTTGTAGCTTATTTGCACTGTTACACCTGCATCTAGCAATAGTGAAGAAACACACAATACACTGAAATTTGCACATCGGAGCAAGCATGTGGAAATCAAGACTTCTCAGAATAAGGTGAGATTGGAATCTATGAATTTTACAAATAATGAGAATTTGTCCAGAGGCAATTACTTAGTTCCATTTTTCTAATGTTTCCTATTTTCAGATTATGGATGAGAAGTCCCTCATTAAAAAGTATCAGAAGGAAATTTCCAGTTTAAAACAAGAGCTTCAGCAGTTAAAGCGTGGCATGATGGAAAATCCATATCTGATGCGCTCTAACCAGGAAGATCTGGTTACTTTGAAGCTTCAGGTTCATGCTGATGCTAGCATTTTGCTTAATCAATATTTCTATTTTTCCTTTTTAGTGGCATTTGATATTGTCAATGCTTACACCGTTCTTCTTTTAGTATCACGTGATGCATTAAAGGGCACATACTCTTCTGCAGAATAATGATCTGTCTGTTGGACACTTAAGACAGTCATGATGAGTCTAGATGCATATAATACTTGCCTTGCTAACGATTACTATATAATTAGTCTGCGTGTTTACTTATCAAAAAAAAACAATTAGTCTGCATGTCAGTCTTGCCATCATATTGATCATGATGAATAATTTAGAAACTGGCACATGTTTAAAGGGATGTAAAGGGACATTACCCATCTCGCCACAACAGGATCCCGAGGAAGGAGAACTTGAGAGTTGAGATAAAAGGGACATTACCCGTCTCACCATGACAGGGTCCTGAGGAGGGAGAACTTGAAGTTGCATCCAAAAGCCAGTACATAACGTTGCTCCCACCTAAGCATGATGTTGGGAGTGGTAGATTGGCTATAGATTAAAGTTGGTATTATTTTGCACAAAGTGGCCGCTTTAAAACTCAAATCTTCATTCTTACGCTTGGTAGCCTGAACTTTTACCATTGAACCAAGATGCCCGAGTTAGAACTTACTTAATAATCATTTTTTCGTTTGTCGTCTATGTTATATCTACATACAGAATAACATATATTCAGTTTTTGTATGTCCTTGAGAGGCCTGCATGCTGCTTTTACTGGTTGGTAATGGCTCATCTAGGATAGAGTTGGTGGCATTGTAGTTATGTATGACTATTAGTATTTGATCAGAATAGATACTTAATAATGGGCTATTGTTTTTCTTTATTAACTTTCAATTACTGTGTACAAGATGTACTCTTGGAAAGAAACAGTTGAATATTCATTAATTTGGAAATATTGAGAGTTGTATAATGTTGATGCTGAAAGTAATGTTCACAAGGTTGGATAGTATGAGTAAAGAAGGGGAAAATAGCTGACATACCACCTTCCTTCACCTATTTGTATGACACTTCCTAAATTAGAAATGGGTTCCCCTTGGCTTGGTGGTTTGTTTAAATTAAAGTTTTTACTTTTAATTTGTTAATTATCATTAGCATTCCTTCAAATGCATTGTTTACCATGTTGCAGTTAGAAGCTGGACAGGTTAAATTACAATCAAGACTGGAAGAGGAGGAACAAGCTAAAGCAGCTTTGATGGGTAGGATTCAGAGATTGACTAAACTAATTTTAGTTTCTACGAAAAATACTATGCCATCAAATGTTCCAATGAAGGCTGATCATAGACGGAGGCATTCTTTTGCGGAAGATGAGGTGGGCAATATATGAATATGAGCTTAGTTTAAGTTTTTTTTTTTTTTTTTTTTTTTTTTTTTTTTTTTTTTTCATGAGTAAGTTAATTTTTAATTTTACAAACACAATATAAATTTCTTATTTTGCCAAGTCTAAAATTATAACTATACGGACCTCGCCCTAATGCATTTTGACCACATTGTTGATGCAGCTAGCATATTTGCCAGATAGAAAACGGGAATACATGATTGATGATGATGTGGGTAGCATTGACTCTGAAATTTCAGTTGACGGAAGGAATGATGTAACGAATCTAGATGAGCTGGTTAAAGATTATAAAAGGAACAGGAGACGTGGAATGCTTGGTTGGTTTAAGCTAAAAGTAATTTCTTTTACATTCCTCCCCCTTCTCCTTCCTTTTGGCATTTGGTTTACAATTATACTTAACATGTTCATTTTAGGTTAGTAGGGAATAATATAAAGGATGAATGATGTATCTATTAGTTGATGTTGCTGCTTAATTTTTAAAATTAACATTTGAATAGTAAACATATGTGGATTTTAATTCCCATACAACTCCACGAAGAATTGTTCAAAAACCTGAGTCAACTTTCTGTACTCAATTTTCAATCCATTTCTATCCATCCATTAGAATCTCTATACTCGTTTTTATGTAAAGGTGCTCTATTTATGGTTACTCTATCACCTGATGACTCATGAACTTTGTTAAAGTTGGCCACATCTCAATATATTAACTAAACAGGATCTGGATAACTCGTGAACTTTGTTAAAGTTGGTCACATTTCAATATATTAACTAAAAAGGATCCAGATCACATGAATGAGTTTGTTGTGCTTAAAATGTAACTCTATTAGATAGTTAAATAAGAATGTTAAAACTTTTTAAAATAAGTAAAATTCAGTACCTAAGAACATTTTTGGCTCCTAGAAGGGGCATTAACCCTGACAAAGAATTGATGGTGACAAAACCCATGACCAAATGCATTTAACATCGAAAACTCCTAATGTGTAAAATTATGAACACCATTACACTAAGGCTGATATGTATACGATTATTGACAATGCTTTTTTACTTGTTGCTCTCACGTCATAACATTCCAAAATTCAAGTCCATCTGATTTGAAATAGGCAATGGACAATGTCTGAAAACCTCTAGATCTTTTTTGCTGAGAAATCATCTATTTGGATTTTGTTCTGTCAGTCACGATTTTTCTCAATGCCGATTACCGTTGAAAGGCAATTATCTTAGAATTCAGTATAAATTTGCTGGAAAGGTCTCCTCATTACCATCAAATCATCAATCGGTTACTGGATCAGCCCACCAACCATCTCCTAGCATCACTACCTGCTAGGCCCATCATCAAATTGTATAGCTAGCATACTCCCAATCCACCTTCCAGTCTCTTGGTGGAAGCTGTATAGATTGTTGATTATGTCTATGTTTTGTATATTCTTCAAATGTTCTTGAAGCCAATTTTACCAAGTATTTACATTCTAATATTCAGAACAATATAATTGGATGTGTTTTCTGTCATGTAGAAAAGAGTACGCATTTCAGATTGAATTTGATTGTCCGAAGAAAGTTTGACACCAATGTTGTTTGGTCTTATAAATCCAATCTTTCAGTAATGTCTTTATCATTAAAAGCTGCACATCTTATGCATAAATTCATTTATGATTTTATTATACATTATAGTAGAATTAGAACAAAATATGCATGTGTCCTACCAATGTCATTGGAGAGAACTGGAGATAAAAAAAGTGATTGGAAACTTTTGCCAATTGATACTAAACAGATGGCAATAGGTAACGAATTCCATGTAGCAATTGCCAAATCTGTAGGCTCTTCTGTGGTTCTTGTCGTTTACGTTCTATTTATCTGATTTATTCCAGCGATTTTTTATTTCATGCATATGACTACGTACAATTAGGGCTACAAATGAGCCAAGCCGAGCTTTGGGTTGTTTGGGCTCTGCTTGAGCTTGGCTTGGCAGTTTTCTAATGAGCTCGAGCTCGAGCCGGCTTGAGCTCGTGAACATATATATATAAGATATATATATATATAGATTTCCTAGTTGGTACTCACACACACTTGTCTCTTCTGAGAGTTGAACCTCTGACCTCCCTTTTGGGAGGTAAGAGGCTGATACCGCTAGGCCACTGGCCCGTTGGTATATATATAATATATAATATATTTATTAAGTGGTAAGACCATAAGGTACTGTTTTTGGGGATAAAATTTTCACCGTCTACTACCATTAATCAGATCTTCTCTAATTTTCATAATCTCCTTTGCCATCTTCAAGTGCCAAAAACCAATCTCCGATTCCTCCAACAATATCACTTAGGGAATAGAAAGAGAGCTAACCTACCTTGGTCACCAAAAGAGTTGAAGGGAGGCCGGTGCGAAGGCCAGTGAGAGAGAGAGAGAGAGAGAGAGCAAATTAACCTTAGTCACCGGTGGAGTCGAAGGAAGGCCGATTCAGTGGCCAGAGGAGTTGCACGAGTTGCATAACTTCCAGAAGCATTGTTCACTCGTTCCTATCTTCTTCCGGATCTTTAGGGTTTTCCGATCTAATCTTTAACATGTATACATCTAAATCCAATGGCTAGATGAAATCATGACCTGGGCTATTGGGTTACATAGGAATTCATTTGTATAGATGGACTAAGTTTTTAAATATAATAAATGTAATTTTATGTAAACGAACAGGCCGAGATTAACATTACTCAATCTCGACTCGTTTACTAAACGAGCTTGAAAAATGAGCCGGAGCTCGATTCGTTTACTTAATGAACGAGCCCAAGCCGAGCGTTTAACGAGCCGAGCCTGAGCTGTTCATGAACAACTTGGTTCATTTGCAGCCCTACGTACAATCAAGCACTATTAACCATTCTAATTAGGGCAAATTACATAAAACCCTCCACTTTCAATTTCTGGCACAATACTCCCCTGCAATTTTTTTTTGATCTAGAACCCCATTGGACTATCCAATTGTTGCAATAGGCCCCCCAACGTCAGTTTGCCAAAAGATTTTTTTTTTTTTTTTGATAAGTAAGAATTTTATTAAAAAGCGCTCAAAAGGGTAGCAAATCCCAAGGAAACAAAAAGCCACAAAACGCCTCTAGCCTTCAAAGACGCCAAAAAAATTACAATCTCCTCAACAGAACGATAATCTCTCCTTGAGACCCAACAAAAAAGAGTGGAAATAATTGAGAACTTAAGCATTGAAATAGGATTCTCCTTGCCATCGAAATATCTCCGATTCCTCTTGAGCCAAATGCACCACCAAATACAGAGAGGGGTAGCCCTCCAAACATCCCGAATGAGAGCCCCAACTGAAACACCTCTCCAAACCTCAATCAACCCTCTAGTGGAACAGGGAGGGGACCCCAAACAACCCAACAATCTCTGGCCATACTGCAATGCAACAGAAGGTGATCCACTGTCTCCTCATCACACCGGCACAAGTAACAACGATTGATAACCACCTGATTCCTCCTCCTCAAATTATCCTGGGTTAAAATCCTACCCAAGACAGAAGTCCAAGCAAAGAAGGCCACCTTAAGGGGAGCCTTGCCAATAGAATTTAACAGCTAAAAAGTGCGTGAGTTTCGCATTCCCTTAAAGTTGCGTTATAATGACAAAAATGCCCCTTAATAAAAATTTAAGAAAATTTTCTATTAAAAAAATATGATTTTCAGTTTAGGTTTCTTTTCCTTTTAAATTTTTTTAGAAAAAAGGGCTTTTAAGAAAAATTTGAAAATTTAGCACCATAAGGTGATGTTATAATGACAAATGGCCCTTAATATAGGTATAGGAAAATTTTGAAAATTGTTCCAAGGTATTTTCATTTTTTGATAGCATCTTATATATATTTTTTACACAAATAATAATCCATTTAAGTATTTATTTCATATTTTTTTTAACACTATACCGAATGAGTTATTTGTATTAATTTTAATCTTATTGTTGAAAAGTAATTTTAAAAAAGACATAGTTTCGTCCATGGGTATTAATGTCCTTGCAAAATCCAATTTTGTACATTTTTTTAAGACAAATTGCATAAAATCTCCTGAAATTTCAAATTTTTTTTTTCACAGTACCCCCCTTACCTGCAAGGGTGGTTTGGTCCTTTCAACTCACCATTAACACCAACCTTGACACTGTAAAGGCCCAACAACATTTGAATAGTCCAGGGGGGTTTTAGGTCTCCTTTTTTTTTTGGTTGGGGATTTTGTGCCAAAAATTGAAAGTGGAGGGGGGTGTTTTGGGTTTATGCAATTTGCCCTCCTAATTATTCTGACATATATAAAAGTTCCTTTGTATACTTCAAGGCCATATGAGATGTTTTGAGGTTTATATCTGGTTAGCGTTTTGTAGCTGACACTGAATAGTTGGGAAATACTTTGTTGGGTTATCTAGATGTTGAGTTTCATGCTTTCCAGTGTTTCTACATCTTTTCTTCTCAAGTAGTTAAACCAAGATACAGAAGCACTATAAAGTCAAAAAAGGGAATTTAGAAAACCTTATTGTTATGAATATAATGGCCATTGATGGTATACTGTAGTTGCTTTAACAGCCATGTATAGTCCTATCCTCCTTTGTATTCAGTTGCAGAGCTCTATTGAGTTGAATGCTGAAAGAAATTAATTACATTTATGGATAAATAAATAAATAAAATTATGACACCCAAAAGTCATATCATATTTGTATTAATTTTAGTGTTGTGGTACTTAATAGTATTGTACTTTTACTTTCTATATGTAGTGGTAACTGCTCTATGCAAATGTTCTCGCAGAGCAACATATTCTTTGTGAGATTTCTTACCAAAAGATTCTTTGAGGACCTCAAGCTTGCCTCTATAGTATATTTCTATTTTTGGCTTTCTAATAAAACTCACCTTTTCCCTGTTTGAACGCCTTTGAACGCCTTTTTATTTCATTATTACTTATCAAAAAATAAATAAAACTCATGGCCTTTATTAGAATTTGTACTCTCCGCATTTTGTGTAATTGACCTGCTTTGTTCAAACTTAGGATTCCATGTAATTGGGTTTCATGAGAGTATAATTTTCTTTTCCTCTTTAAACAGGATTTTTCTTTCTTGTGGGGGTCCTAAAGTTACCAACTTCAGATGTCTGTCTCACAGGGAATGTTTTTGTATTGAGAACACTCCTTTTCTCTAGAATATCACCCATATTTTTTTCTTGGTATTGGTGCTGTAACTGCAATTCCCAACTTTATTGATGATACAAATAGTTGCCCTTTAGACTATGAATATGTGGTTCTAATGGAGAAGGATGACTCATTTAGCCGATGCCAAGTAGTTGGGCTTGTGGTTTTGTCAAGTCAAATAGTTGAAGAAGAGAGTTAGTAAGCAACAGCCTCTTCTTTTGCCACTTGATATTCATCTTTTTCATGCGAAGTCTGCTATTGGCAAATGCAATGGATGGCGAGACCATTGATTTGAGCAATGGTGAACAATTGGGGCTTAAGCGTAAGAACAGGGAATTCGACCTTTAGACTATGAGCGCAGCCTCTTCGTGCCAATAATGTTGGAGTTTAATTTTATACCTAGTCCGCCCTCCTTGACACCCAAAAAATTGGAGGACCACCATTAGGTAATAACCTTTTTAATTGATTGCTGGACTACCCTGCCATTTCATCTGCTGCATGTAACAGAACCCATCTGACAGAAAGCCAATCCTGTTTGACACAGAATAGCATACCGGCCTCTTTCAATTATTATGTTTTTAAAAGAAGTTGCTTTCTATGAGGGGCTGAGTGAGATTTTGTGATGCGGCTTTCTAACACTTCAGTGTGTATTAAAAGTGTAGATTACTTCCAAACAGTTTGGCAAGGTCTGGATAATGATATGATTATAAATCATCTATGCGGCATTTATTATTCTCACAAATTGAGGGTAATCTTTTTAGTGAATAAATGACTTGGGAAACTTAGTTATAAGTCCTAATAATTTGGCCGGAGAAATAATTAACAAAAGCTTTGACAGACTTATGTTTAAACTTCTAATAGAAGCTTGGTTTAGCACCAAATATTTGAAGTGAAAAATAACTTTTTGTGAATAAATTGAAATTGATGAATTAATTTTCATGGATGCTCCTTAGATACATATCATATGAAATCGTATTTGTGTGTACCATTTGTGATAGCAATGTAAGTTACTTTTCATAGCAGAAATGAATTAGTTATTTTTTAATTCCACTGATTTAACCATGCCAAATTTTAAACGAATGGATTTCCTGTGCAGAAGCCTGATAATCTGGTTGGTTTATCAACAAGTGCTGACACTGAGAGCTCTGCAAGTGGGTCACCTGCATCCTATTCAAAATCATCGCAAAAAAAAGTCTTATTCAGTGATATGAAAGATGGTCAGAGAAAATCTGTCAGTAGAAGGGGGGGTGATCCTTCGGTTGTTGACTCTCTTCCTGACAGAACCCAAGCGGGTGACTTGTTCAGCGCTGCTGTTGGAGGTCGTCGTCTACCTTCGGTGAGAGAGAACTTCATTGGTCCTAGTATGTTAACCATCGCAGGAATGGAAATAAATATCAAAGGAAGACAAGCAAATAGTATCTTTGTGGCACTTTTTTTTCCTCCAAATAATGTACATGTTGTGTCTGTTTTTTATATTGTTGAGAATAGACTGCAATTTATACTCTGTGCTAGCATGCTTGCATTAGTTGGAAGGCACATGTATGCTAGCTGGTAAATCTAGGTGGGTTTTTTGGTTCTGGATCGTAGTGAGCTGGTTACTGCATGCATGGATCTTCATGTGTGCATCAGTTTACCTCATATGTGTAGTAGGAAGATGTAATTGCTTTGGGCAGTGTACCTGGTGATCCATACTCCTTAGACACAGTACTGTTGCCCTAGTTTTCTCTATCCAGACCGCCCTATATGCTATTGACGGTCATGTGAGGTCCAAGAAATTAGAGTTCCCTTTGGAATGGGCTTATCATAATGTTTTAAGTCATTATAAATTAGGGTGTATTTAGATGCTATTGTGCATTGGCTTTAAGTTATAATTTTGACTTCAATGCTGAATGACTTCTTTGCAGAGTGGGACCACTATTACCGATCAAATGGATCTTCTCCGAGAGCAGGTGAAAATGCTAGCTGGGGAGGTAGCACTGTGTACCAGTTCTCTTAAGAGACTGTCAGAGCAAGCAGCTAGCAGCCCAGCAGACTCGCAACTTCAGGCTAGCTACCTTTTAAGAATTACTTCACTCGGAGAATGTTTAAGTTTGATTAAAATTCATGGTTGCCCTTTTGGTGGTCTTATTGGTGTATAGGAACAAATGCAAAAGTTGAAGGATGAAATTAGAGAAAAAAAACTTCAAATGCGTGTATTGGAGCAACGTATGATTGGATCAGTTGACATGACTCCACATACTTCAAATAGCATTGAAATGTCGCAGGTAACTTTTTTATGTAAAAGTGATATTGGACATTCTGGAAAAAATTCCAGACAGGTTACCAGATATGCAACTAATAATAACTAGAAAAAGAGAGATTCCATGTTGGCATGGATAGTGTAGATATTATAGTAGTCCTTATTTGACTGCTATAGTTAGAAATTTAAATGGATGTTGTTTCGTTCTGGTTTTCTGATCACCGGAGCTACTGGTATTTTAGTGAGCTCTCATGCAAGAACTGATGTAGATAGAAGTTTCTTCTCTCCAGGGTATTTTAATCCCTAATTCTTTCTTTATTTATTTTTCAGAACAATACATTAACTGACATTCTTGTCTATGTGGCACTTGAATGGTTGTGGCAGATAAGTAAGGCTAAATTTTAGCCTTTTGAATGTAAGGTGAATAGGAGATGAGGAAAACGGATTCAAAGTTTCTAGGAAAAAAGGGAAGGAAAATTGGTTACTTGAATCTTTTGGAGTGCATTAAGAGTATTGATTAGGAGTAGAAAAAGGGTGGTGAGATAGAAAGGTGCAAGATCTTCTTGGAGAAGCTGTTGCACGCCCAATGGGTGGCTCATTGATATATCAGTTTAGACTGTCATTGTTGTCACGATTGTGATGATTATTAATGTTATTAACTTATTATCATAAAAAGTTTATCCAGAGTTTGCATCAGATATTTTGTTCACAAGTTAAATATGTTACCTTTTAGAAATGCTTTTTCAGTGGTATTCTCTTTTACGGTATTGTTTCAATTTATACTTTCTTTAGATTGGGGTGTGCATGTGTATATATATTTATAAATGTAATAAAAGGTTTAACTAGATGCAATCCATAGACAAAGGGAATATAGACGGGCAAAACAACTTTCAAGCTCTTTAAATCCTAAACTTCGCAATATATAAATTAAGTGAAGTTAACATCAAATGCTTAAATTTCATGACTGGTAACATCACCCTTTCATAGGTGCGTTTTTCACTCCTATACACACTTCTTAAGAATCTTGAACACTAAGAGTGAATTTTGATCTGGGGACTTGGGATAAAGATGAGCAAAAAGGAGTTTGAGGTTTGCATATCTTTGCTCAGGCTATTGAGGTGAAGTTGTCTTTTTGCTCCTTCATAACAATAACCTTTTGGCTTGTTGAGTTTGCCGTATACACAAGTATCATCAGCTAAATTGAAAATTAATGTCCACAATCTATAATTTTTCAGAAGCAAACTCATAAGCTTTGTCACTAATATCATGCATAGCCTAATAAATAAGTTTTAGCGTTTTTGTTGGGCTTGGGTTTGGCTTATCGCAAGCCAGACTTTTGAGTGTACAAAGCCACGTAGGCACCTCACATTGGGGTGTAAAGGCTTGGTTCGGAATTTTTTAACTTTGAGTACTCTCTCTCTCTTTCTTTCGATAATACCAGCATTTTTGTATTATGGTTGTTTGTTCTTACTACTGAATCACAAATGCTTTCTATTCAATTTGATGTAGGCCCTATCCAAGCTTGCTACTCAGCTCAATGAAAAAACTTTTGAACTCGAGGTTTGTTAACCTATCCTCTTGGTTGATTGTAAAGATGACATTGTGATATTAAATGTCGAACATATATACTAACTTAAATTTTTGTTGTGGGATGATATTCAAGATTAAATCAGCTGACAATAGGATACTCCAGGAGCAGCTACAAGTGAAGGTAAAACTATGCTACTATTTGAAATCCTTTTCAATCGTTACAAGTTTCATTTTCTGACAAAATTTTGTTATGGTTACAAGACATCAGAGAATGCTGAGATGCAAGAAACGATTCTTCTGTTAAGAAGACAACTTGATTCTATGTTATCAGATAAATCTTCAAGCTACCATCAACAACAACCTGCAGATGATGACGTTACCATACTCAAGAAAAATGAAGGGATGGATGGGGTTCAAGTATGTGAAGAAACTCGTATTGATGAAAATACACCAACAAGTGTTATGAGTTTGAATAGAATATTCTCCCAAGAGGATTCCAAGGAGTGTAATAATGATTCTTTTTTGAATTCCCAGCTTCTTATGCAGGTTTAATTTTTTCTTTTTCTTTCTGTTTTAATAATTTTCATGACTTTTCTAGTTAGAAATATTTCTTATGTTATTGTGTTAGCAATCTCATCTTGAATGTAAATCAGGGCGGGTGAAGCTACATTATTTTAATGTCAACTGCTGTTAAAGGTGTTTACACTACATTCTATTTGACATAGGCTGCTGAGATTGAGTCATTGAAGCAAGAGAAGGTTAAAATGACTGAAGAAAAGGATGGGCTTGAAATTCACAGCCAAAAATTGGCCGAGGAAGCTTCATATGCTAAAGAGCTGGCAGCAGCTGCAGCAGTGGAGCTTCGGAACTTGGCTGAAGAAGTTACCAAACTTTCTTACCAAAATGCCAAACTGACCGCTGACCTGTCCGCTGCAAAAGAAGCCTGTTGTAGTTCGAACTTCTGTCAAAAGTCAGTTGCATTCGATCTGAAGCAAAATTGCAGCAATGGTGCTAAACCTAATGCACGGTCAAGAAAACCAGAGGATGGTGTATTGGTGGAGGAGTTGCAACAAGAACTTAACACGAGATACTACAGAGAAGCTTCTTTGGTTGGTGCATTATCTGAAAGAGATAAAGCAGAATCTGAGCTGCGAAAAGCACTTGACCAATCAAAGCAAAGTGAAGAACATCTGGAAAATGAGCTGGCCAATATGTGGGTGCTTGTTGCAAAGATGAGGAAGTCTGGCATTGATAATGAAGGCACACTGTCTGAAGGATTTCGTGCATCTGATATTTTGCAATCAAGATCCGGATATGATTATTCTTCATCTAATGGTCACACAAATAAAATATTTGAAAAGGATGAGATCAATGAAGACATTAATGAGATAAGTACATATGAAGAACTCAAAGCTAGCTATCATATAGAAAGGAGAAGGTGCAAAGAACTTGAAAGTTTTGTTTCGAGATTGAAGGTATGTGCTTTTCAGACAAACTTTGTTAATAAATTAAACATAATTCTGAATAAATTTATGGTTATATTATATGTTGAAGATAGTGAGATATGATCATATAATTAGATTATTTGTGTATTATCTGCAACTGTCTCATTAGTTTTATTATCTTCATCCAATGACATGGCCTGCAGATTGTATATATTTGTACACAAATTACACCCACAACGCGTTCAAATTTTTTTACTAGGTTTGGGCTCCGACCTTTTCCTCAATCAGCCCATTTGTTTATCAAATTCTGAGCCATTTCCACTATGGTAATTCCTGAAACCTATAGTGTTTACTGTGTCGTAGACCGAGCGTAATGATTAAATTTTTTATTTTGTGGTTTTCATTTTCTCTACCTGACTCATTCTTATGGTTGTCTTTTTCTCTTATCTTGCTACACTGGTTAATTTTGAATCATTGTCACTGCACGTGTTTTATGTGTATGCATTAATATGTAGGTAGTTGTTTATGTATTCATATATATTTCTAATGGAAGTTCACCTTGTACAAATTGAAAGACCGTAAAACGATATTTGCCCTCGTCATTCTAATCAAGAGTAATGATCCACTTGGTAAGCTATGCCTTTTTATTACTAAAGTTGCTGCTCTCTCTCTCTCTCTTGTACATGTTCAAAAAAGACACAACGGCAAGTTCAAATCCAATGGCTACAGTTCATCAATCAAGATGAAACTTTTGTACACCTGTTCATCAAGCCCTGATCCAAATGTCTTCAACAATGCTATATACATTAGGGTTAATTGCACATTGGGGCCATGTCATGTGTCTATAGATGCCATCATTGTCTCTTGGAATCCTCAAATTGAATGGCTATAAATCACTAATTTTGATGAATATCTGTCTCTCTATTGAAATCTGTAAATCCATCAAATTGTATTGTAAATTGGAAGAATACACATCAGTAAAAATTACAAGGAAATTTTCCTTCTTTCAGGGCGATGATATTTCCGATCTGGATACTACTACTCTTGAAGAACTGCAAAACCTTCATGTTGAGGCCATAACCAAGATTTGCCATGCAAAGGTTACATTCTTTGCTTCTTTTCTTTGTATTAATACTTTTATCATGTCAATGTTACTCTATAATGTCATTTACTGTGTTTATTTACTCTGACATGTCGTAATCCTATTTTGTTTTTGGTGAAGTACACCAACCCTCCATGAAGTAAGATCTAATTACACACGCACGTCATGCACGTCAAGTTTGGTAAAAGGGCACCATTATCCACCTGTTAAGTAGCCGTTACCATTACCAAACTTGACAGAATCTTAACCGAACACCAGATATGCAGCATATGCCACTCATTTTGTTTAGAAGACTTGAGTAGCCATTGCTTTCACAATTTAGTATATTCTCTTAGTCTTGCAAATTACAATTAATAGTTAAAAAAATAATTAATTTGTTTTTCTTCTAAATTTGAAAATATATTATACAACATGCATAGCACGTGGTATTTTAATAGTCTATAAAAAATTATGGAAAAATTACACTGACCTCGACATCCCTTATGTTTTCAAAAATCAGACTGAGATCCCCTGTCAGAACTTGTCGATTGATGGTGTTAATGGACTTTGTGAATTTTTCCTACTGTACTCTTGTATTAAATGTTAAGGGATGGCAGTATAATTTTTAAAACATAGGGAAACGCGGTGTAATTTTCACTTCCTTGAGGAGGGTCAGTGTAATTTTTCCTTTATGTTCTTTTTGCCTTTAGTATGTGTCATCGTAGTTCAACATCTTTTTGTTGCATTTCACTCTTGTCAGTTCCTTCAGCTTGGCCAATTAAGAGGGTCTGTGAAACGTCCTTATAGTTTTGAAAAGAAACTGTGCTTGCGTCTTTTTTGATGTTCAATTCAAGAAGCTTGATGTTATGATGTCAATTTGTCCATTAAAATTAGGCAACAGAAATAAATAAAAAAAAAAAAGCAAATTGCACAATCTTACAACAATGAGTGTTTGAATGTATGACAAAAGTATTTGGATGCAATAATTGTTAATTGAGAGAGAAGGGAAAAAAGAAAAAAACTAAAGAGAACCTTAACTATAACAATTTCCTAGTACCACCATGCTACTTCAGTATCTGATTTAGCAATGATCTTGAACTTCTGTTGTGATTGAATTAACTTTACGTTATTATTATTTTTTCGTGTATATTGACTAATCTTTGTGGGTTTACTATATGCAGTGCTCAAATCACGCCTTATAACATGCTCAAAATGGGCTTTGACCTTTTTTGGTAAGTCTTCGTTCTTTAAAAATGTCCATCGTAGATGTTGTTAAAATTTAGATATATTTGCCAAGATGTTACGCAAATGTTTGTTTAGATATTTGTTTTAGGAACAACACATTTAATTATCTACTTTCTGTAGTCTTGTTGACCATGGTTGTTTCCTCACTATCCAACTCTCAACGCTAGTGTCTGCTAATGATATCCATCTGGGTTGTTTCTCTTCCAATATCTTAGTCCAAAATGAAGATCTTATTTATAGTTGTACAGAAATGACCATTCTGTTGTCTGATTTACGGTCAAGTTTGGCTAGTAAATAGATTTTCTGTTTGCTCAACCTTATAGGCTCTTGGTGATTTTGTGTAGATGCTTTTTATAAATTGATTCTTGTTCTCTTGCTCCATGGCGCTGAGAATCTACATGACTTGACAAAAAACCGTTCTATCTCATCGGACTGTGTATCAGAAAAAACATTTTAACTTGATATTTTTTGCTTTCCAAGATAGTGAAACCACCTGCAGGATAATGTTTTATTAATTTTCGAAGCTGTTCATCCTTTATCCTTTGAGCTGTTTTCAAAGTAGATGCTTCTCTTTTGTGTATTGCTGTTTGCCAATTGCTCCATACAACTGTTATCCAACTTCGTTGCCAGTCATTCATTGTCATCAAGAAGCCACCTCACTCAGAATTTCTCCTTCAAGTCCTAGATTGAACCAATGGCTGTCCTTCAGGCCAAAAGCTTTTAGTTAATAACACGTATTCCTTTTTATCCAACTCGGTCCATGAACTGATGAACCTGGTCCATGGCTCTTTCTCTGGTGAAAAACCAAATAGTCTCTTGAATTTTGAAATAATATATTTGAAAATGCTCGTCTGTAAGAATAACTTTGGATTGAAGTCCAATCTTTGAACTTCAATTTGGTCGATCAATTTCATTTATTGAACGTTACAGTGAGAAATCAGATGTTCGCTGCTCTAAGATTTAGGGATAGACGGAACAACCTTTTTAAATTTAATAAAATATCACTTATCAAAAAAAAAAAATTTATTAAAATATCATTTAGAGGTGATCTTATTTTTTCAGAAACCAGAAATAAGTTTGTCAAAGGAAGTTTTTATTCCGACCATCAGATGATAGGACTCAATAATAAATTGATTCATTTGCTTGCATTTTTCTTTTCGCGTTCACTTAGTTGAATGCTTGGAAGGAATTTTTTATTTACCATGGCTTGAATTGTATATAGTGGAGACCAGAAATCCCAGAGAAAGTCATCTGACATTGATGTGCTTCCATCAACTGTTCGCTTTAAGGTGACAAAAGTTCCAACGCTTTCTTTTCCATTCTCTTCTCTCTTTCCTTCTCGTCGATTTTTCTTCAACTTAAAACCAGGGGAAGCTGTTTATTTGGTTTTCAACGCCTTTGAAGTTTGAACTTCTCAAGAAATAATTGCGAGTTCGTGGAAACCTAAGTGGACTTAGAACCTCAGAGTGCATTTAAAACTACTTTACAGATGAAATACTTTAGTTTTCATTAGAATCAAAATGTGCTGTTTTTGCTATTGTGAGAGCTGTTTGGATTTTGCTTGACGATTCTGCATTCTAATTCTGACTGGGTTTCGATGCCTTTTGCGTATCTTGTGTCCGGATTGTTCCTGCGTTCTCTAGTTTGTCTGTTCTTTGCTTTGGGTAATATATATATATATATATATATATATATATATATATATATATGATGATGATGATGATGATGATAAATTATCGTGCATGTATGCAAAGCCATCTAATGATTTCTGCATTGGCATTTCGTGCAGGTATTATGCAAATATTAGCACTAACGACTCATTTGTCGAGCAGTGACGAGCATTTTCCTGAAACTAACTTTGTGTGGCTAACTTGTAGCAGTAATTGAACAAGACACCTTTGTTTAAAATCTTTTTATGTACATTCTCGAGCTGTAAACCTTGTACGACTGATCAAATGTTGTAATTGTAACATATATATATATATATATATATATATACACAATTGCTTGAAGCTGTTTTTTATCTTCCATGTTCAAGTCTCAAAACTTCGTCTACCGACCGGCTTACAGGTCTTGCCCAAACAATGAAGTGCAGGACAATGCTTCTTTAATGTTTCCAAGTTGATTGTACAAGGTCCTATGGCGGAGCAAAGCTCCGGACACTCTGATTATGGAAATATATATATATATATATATATATATATATATATATATATATATTATCCTCCAACTTCTATCGATATTAATCCGGACACTCCGATTATCGAAAAAATATATATATTATCCTCAAACTTCTATGGCAAGTTTCTTTTTATCCATATTAACAATGTGACAAAAATCGGTGGAGCAAAAAGAAATTCTGACTATGGGCTAGGCTTCTATGGCGATCCAGAAGAAAAATGTTCGAATTTGTAAAAGCTCATTTTATGGGATTGATATGTAAGATTATTAATTAATTGTGGGTCTCACATAATTTGGACATCTACTATGTAACATTATTTATTAATTGCGGGGCTCACATAATTTGGACATCTAATATATTTTATTAATTAGTGATTATAGTGATTATGTAATTAGATATCATATTAATATTATATTATTTGATCAACTTTTAAATTACTACCTCTGATCAAAAAAGAATCTCCTTTTTTCTGTTCAAAAAAGAATCCCCTTTTTTGAGAGTATAAATTTTTAAGGAGATATGTGAGCCATTTATTGTTTTCTGAAAAGTCATTAACTTGTCCTTTTAAGTTTTGAATATTCAAGTTTGAAATTTTAAACTCTAAAGACATATATAGAAAAATCTAAAATATATTGTTTAAAAGAAGAAAGTGGACAATTATTTTGGGACAATCTAAAAAGGATAGTTGAACATTCTATTTGAGACAGAATACCTTTTGGTAATTAATTATTGGGGAAATGTTTGCCTATTTGTTCCTTACGGAAAGTGGATATCAAGTTACTAAAAGGAAAACTGATTATCTCTATGCCTATACATTAATAAAAAGTATAATGTTTATGTGTGCAAAAGGCGAGAAATCGAAAGATCGTTTGACTGCTATCATGAGAGAAATCGGTTGTTCTTTCGGCATAAAAGATTGTTTGACTGCTATCATGAATAGAGGTATTTATATTTAACTATTTATTTATGCATAATAAACTAATGTTCTTGCACAAATATTATAGCAATGTTTATTTGTGATTATCCATTGCACAAATAATTATAGTTTACGTGATAAACACACATAGATACATAGCACTGTGGATGAAAGGACTTTATGGTTCAGAAACTGCGGCATTAGTTCATCTTTTATCACCATCTTATTTTGAAAAAATGAAAACAAAGATTTAAATAATAAATAAATAAAATCATTGTCCAAATCAAATATGAATGAAAAGAAATTTCTAACCGAAATGAATCAAATGATCTCACATAGCAACACAACACATTACAACATACTAGTTTGGATAGCGAGAAAGATTAGGTTCTAGTGGGAGGGAATGTAGATGCATATGCACCAGTTTGAAGCAAATTGGATATAATTATGTTCTTTTATAAGCAGTAACTCAGGCTTCAAATGCAAATTGGTGAGATTTGTGATGTTTAATGTTACACAACACCTTGATCGGGACAAGAATTAGAACGAATGCTGAGAGAATGAGTAAAGATGGATGGAAAGTCTTTCCTTCGTGTGGTTGAGAGGAACTTGGAAAGGAAAGGAGGGAACCCTCCTCTCTTAAAAAGTTAATAGTTTTTTAACTTAGTAAAAATAAATAAATAAAACACAATTTTACCTTTTTGGATTTTTTTAATTATGAAAAATATATAACTGTCAAATCCCATAATACCCACATTTTTTTTTTTTTTTTTTTTTGCCCCCTTTTTACTCAACCTTTCACTTTGAAATGTAAAATAACTACTAGTATTAAATAGATAATGAAGAAAGGCTCTTCGTCTCCTTTAACTGAATCTGCTAATGAAAGGCCTCATAAAACGCTCTAAATTTAGCTAACCATGAATCCTTGTGGGTATAGTGGATATGACCCTTTCTCTCTCTATCTCTCTTTCTCTCTCTACACCTTTCCATGGCAGACCGTTCACGGTCACCACCGCAGGACAGCTACAACATTCTTTGCATCGGAGGCATCTTCAAAGCATACAAATCACTCGTCTCCAAACGCCATCTTAAGAAGATCAACAAGGTTGAAGCCCAAGATAATTTGAAATCTTTCAAGGTACGTGTATGTATATACAGACACAAACACCCACACATATATTTATGTATATATGCACACTTGTTTATGCATATTTGATGTCTTCAATTTCAGTTTTGACAAGAAAAGTTTGATTCGGAGATATTATCATCAACATATATTTCTTTATAACACAATTCAAACTTCCAAAAGTTCAAAATTGTTGAAGAAAACCTCAAAACGCAAGAAGAAATGTTGAGTTTCGTTTATAATTATTGAAATTTGATATCACCATACGTAAATTATGCATGCCAGGCCAAAAAAAAAAATAGTTTGCATCAATATCATGACGCATTGCATGCAAGCACAAATCAATATCTTCGCGTACGCTTGTTTTCAGGCCCGTGACGACAAGAGTCACAGAGTAAAAACCAGAAATGGCGACCACGAGGATCGTCCCGCGAATCCTAGAAGTGGTTTCAGACATCGAACCCCTTCTCCTCTCTCGAGAAGTGAGAGCATCACTTCTCCTCTCTCGAGAAGTAAAAGCGCTTCTTTCTCGAGGAATGCCAGCCGGAAGAGCGTAATCCCAATTTCTGGGCCTGCAGCCACCTTCTCTGGAAGCTTGGGGCGGAAGAGTACGGACGCAGCTGGTCTTGGATCGCTCTCAAGAAGCACAAGCAGGAGAAGTTCTACAGCTATTATGTATTCCAACTCGAGCGGTTTATTGAAACCCCCGGCGATAGAGCATACCCTAGAGTGCACACTTGAGGAACTATGCTTCGGATGCACCAAGAAGATCAAGATCACAAGAGAAGTAGCTACAAACAATGGGTTTGTTACTAATTTCCTTTTCCTATAACCATTTCATGTCACATTAAGATTTACTCCGTATCTGATTTTCGCAGTTTCTGAACAGAGAGGTTGTGTAAACTAGGTGACTAATAAAGACTAATCCTTGTTTATTAACACAAAATGAAGAAAATACAAACCAAATCCTTCGAATTTGATTTGCTTATTAGGCTTCTTGACAACCTACCTTATGCCTATCCACAAATTTTCTTCCGAAATTTCTATTGATAATGTGAAGATTCTAAAGGGCACTGTTAAAGTCATTTTGTTAAAGTCATTTTGACACTTCATTTCTGACAGGCAAGTAGTAGAAGAGGAGGAAAATCTAACTATAAAAGTGAAGCCAGGATGGACACAAGGAACGAAGATCAAGTTTGAAGGTATGGGAAATGAGACACCGGGCACTTACCCAGGCGACGTAAACTTTAGGGTTTCAGAGAAAGACCACCCCGTGTTCACGAGAGAAGGTGACAATCTCGAGATAGCAATAGAAATTCCTTTGGTAAAAGCTCTCACAGGCGGCGACGTTATGATCCCTCTACTAGGTGGTGAGAAGATGAGTTTGCCAGTTGACGATATCATATACCCTGGCTACGAAAAGATCATTGAAGGCCAAGGCATGCCGAAGACGAAAGAGCATGGAAGGGGAAACTTGATAATCAGCTTCCTAGTTGAATTCCCGATGGAACTCTCGGACGAACAACGATCAGAAGTTTTCAGTATTCTACAAGATACTTGTTGAACTATGGAAATTGTTGTCCTCTGCATATGTTTCAACAGTTTTGTTGTCATGGGAGTTAGGTTCACAACCCGTGGTCAATCTAGTACTTCATTGTAGTTATCCAATATATGTTAGATACATAGAAATGATCAGAAATACTTAAATTGATGCCAAGAGAAGATGGTGCTTGATTGTAATACTTGATTCAAATTAGGACCAGAAGAGTAAAAACTGAACTTCTCAAGTGCCATAAAATTCTTCTTTGGAAAAGAATACAAAGAGATGCAGGAAACTTGCATTGGAGAATGCTACAATTGACATTATGCATGGTTATTTGCTTACCTCATGAGACATGTATAAAGCCCAAACGACGAAAAATATACAGCCACTTTGCGGATCCTTCAGTAACCTTAGCTTCTTGGAGGAAGGAGCTTCGTTGCAGATTTAAATCTTACAACCGGAATAAAGCACGGATGATGCCAAATATATTGCCGCTTAGTAGAGCCTTCAGCAGTCTCAGTTTCCCAGGCGTGTACGGGGGATACCTCGCAGGTGCATCACCAAGAAAACTTCGGAATAGAACTGCCTTCTTATGACTAAAAGCATCAAAAGAGAATTTACCATGGTATGCACCTATTCCACTTTCCCCAACTCCTCCAAATGGTAAAGTTGGAACTGCAAGCTGCACCATCAAGTTCATTGACTCAGATTCTTAATCAATTGTCAGCAAACGATTTTCAAGAGTAAACCATATATAGACTACAGCATACATGCATATTTTTTTTTCTTTCCTGGAATGGGATTTTTTATTGAACATACATTGCATGTTTCTATTGCTTTGAAGAACATATGTAAGTTAGAAATGGCTAAGCCATGTTCCAATATAAAAATTTGAACTATCAAAGACGTCAACAACCATATATCCGCATGGGACCAATCACAGTTGAAAAGAACCATTATTTCTTAAAAGATTCCGAGCCGTCAGTCTGAATGTCTGATTTCTCAACTTTTTACATAATATTTGAATATCATAGGTGCTTTTTCTTTCTGAAGTGCATTATTCTTCCAAATTTTTTTATTCCTGAATGTTCTAGCCAAAATCCTTCCAGATAAATTCCTCAATTACAAAACTTGTTACAAATCTCCAATTTCCATCCTAATTTGACGCCAGGGCCAGTTTTTGGACACTACTCGACAAAATCAATAGAAAATAATCTCAGTGACACCAGACGTAAAGCAATACAATACATAGATGACAATTTTAAATAGGGGAAATGAAATCAGGAGACGAAATCCCCAGTCAATCATCCATTTTAAACAGCAGCACTGCGATGCAACTTATGCTATCATGGAGACTACGACTTTCTTGCAAGTATATATGCAGGAATCTATCTTTGAAGGCATGTGTGCATGTGTTTTTATAATAAATAGCTTTCTGGTATGAGTTCAGGAAGAAGACTTACATGTAGTGCTATATCATTGATGCACACACCCCCTGCAGTGATGTTTTTCACAAATTCCTCCTTGAGCTTCTTGTTGTTGGTAAATAAATATGCAGCAAGTGGCTTTGGTCTCGATTTAATCATGTCAAAACTGTCTTCTATTTTCCCAACCTTTACAACCAAAAAGAAAATATCATTATTGATGTACCATGTTAAATATCATTATTGATGTACCATGTTTCATGCAGCACCAAAAGCTGAAATAAAAATAAAAGCAACCATCTAAAACTATTTACCGTGAGAATAGGAAGTAAGGGGCCAAAAATCTCCTCAGTCATGATCAGAGAGTCTTCTGGGACATCCAGCAAAATGGTGGGAGCAATCTTTCTGCCATGAAAGAAGCACAAATGAAATGAATGGGTTGTCCCACTTACCTAAACCAAACTATGAAACTAGGTAAACAGTTGACAAATACACAGTAGAACTCACAGGCTGGTTTTGTCCCTTTGACCTCCATGAATGATCTTATCAGAAACCATCTCATCATCCAAGAGTTTTGTTAAGCGAGAAAAGTGGTTGGAATTCACAATGCGAGACATGTCTTCTGATTTCATCGGTTCTTTCCCAAAGAATTTCTCTAATTCAAGTTTCAATGCATCTACCTGGAGAGTAAGTGGCATCAGTAGAAAAAATATAGGCAGATTAATATCTGCATATTCGTTGACATTTCTCTCCACTTACCAATTTTGGAGCAAAATCTTTTGTTGTTATAATGTAATCAGGAGAAATACACGCCTGCCCATTATTGCCTCCCCACTTGCCTACAATAATCCGCCTGGTTGCAACCTTGGAAACACAACAAACTTAGGTTAGCAAACAAGATGCAAATAATAGCATCCGTGAAGCAATAACTAGCAACATGTAAAACAAGTTCCCGCCACAAATTAACTTCTTCAAGAAAAGAAAAACTCTTTACTGTTAGATTGAGGTCTGAATCAACAACCACAGGAGATTTTCCTCCAAGCTCCAAAAGTACAGGTGTAAGGTGCTTTGCAGCAGCGGCCATCACAATGCGACCCACTCTTCCATTGCCTACAAAGATCATAACCAGGGATCAAATATGAAAAACCACATTGTTTAAGGTCAGTGTAAAGTAGGAAGAAATAAATGGTCAGTGCAACTGCAAAATAATATTCATTTCAGCAGCAAAAGCTAACATCAAAATACCACCTGGCGACACAACACCAACTCTTTCCATGTTTCTCTCTCTTCAAATATACTGACTGAGACACCAATATGCTGCCTAAGAAAGGACTTCATTTTACCTATAGCCTTGAAACACAACCCACTTAAAAGATCCTTGATTGGGTTAGGAAATAACCAACACCCCAATAAAGAAAAACAAAATGTACTAAGCATCCAGGTAACCAAACGGGGCACCCAAAAGACGGTCCCCTGACTCACTCTGCATCCTCCTTAACATGCCACAATTTATCAAAATTAGCCAATTACTACTAAATATACTGTCCAACACTAAAATGTTCTTACTGAACCCCAGCTCGGTTGATAATATACAACAACCAGAGGATTATACATATATTCCCGCTACAAAAAACAATTTGCTACCCCTAATCCCCGTGCTTCCGTCCCTGATTCTCAAAAAAGGGATCAAAAGTTCAAAACTCATATCAAATCCTAATCACTACTAAGACAGTGCCCAGATCTAGGACTCCAGTTCCATTCTTGTCCCTCTTGTTATTAATCAGCTTGAAACTCACTGCAATGTTGCCTCACTAATTATTGTCCAAAAATTAACACCCAACTCCAATCAAACAAGCAACTTCCTATTATAATCTGTTAAATCCTTCTTAATTGAAGTCTATATGCCATGGCCTTAGGAATCTCCCTCCATTGTAGGAAAACCAACCATTGCTCAGACAACCACACTTGAAAGACAAACTTTCCTCTAATCTATCTGCCACCAAACACGGTGAAGATTGACATGAAATACACAGAAGGCTGGAAAGAGGGGTTCTGATAAGATCCATTCTACTTCCATCAACAACACAATTTGTTTGCACTTCATCCCAGTTAAATATTCTGGTAAAACAATTAATTATCACATCCAGAACAACCATATCTTGTAAACTAAAACAAGACACGGGAGAACTGCCCATCAAGCATCCCAATTAGGATGTTAGAAAAGTAATCTGACAAACTTAGTAACCCCGCAACTATGAAGCACACATATGGAGACAGACACAACAACACAACAAATTTCTAAAAAAAATAGAACACACGCAGAAATACCTCAATAAAATGATAATATAATTTATTATTATATATAAACAAAAAATTAAATTTATCATCTCATCAAAATTATCATCAATGAATCACTAATTTGGTGCTTAAAGTTGAACAAGTGTTGTTTTGTTTTCCAAAGCTTTATGTTATTTTTCTATTAACCCATACTATATTATAAAATTGCGTTAGAACTCCTTTAAAAAAAATGCAAAACTACCTCTGCCGTGTCCTGAAAGTGTCCCAAGAATGCCCTTAATGTGTCCCTGCCATGTCCATGAAGTTTCCCAATCATGTTCAATTAGAAATAATAATAATAATCAAACTCCAATTTACTTCTAGCCATGTCAGACACGTGTATGGCCATGTCCAACGCATGTCCGTGGCCAACACCGCCACGGCACCCCCGAGTGGAGTACCCATGCTTTCTACCCCCACAGAATAGCACGCCAGCATCCCACCCACAAGCATACATATTGTAAGCACAAAGTCATTACAAAACAATTTGGGAGGCCAAATGATGTTCACCATTCCAGCATGTCATTCATATATTCAACTAGAACCTAATCCAAGTTGTCATACAGTGATAACATCAGTCTTTAATGTACAAATCTATGTTCATTTGCCATTATATGTACCTTTGCTTAAAAGGATACTAAATAGGGAGCTTGCCCCCGAGAAAAATTTTTGACCCATTTTTTGCTCATTGGTCGTGAACCCTAATTAGTCTCTTATAGCCCAATATATAAGGGCACTTAGGGTTTGGAGTGGTGGAAGAGATAAACTCTGAAATTCGTACAGAAACAAAGTGAGGGGTTGAAAACTTGTAATCTCCGATTTTACACATAGTGAAGACTTTCGCCATATCTCAACCGTGGACATACGCTATTGTCGAACCACGTATAAATCTTTGTATTCTTTATGTGGTGTGCTTACTTTTCTGTCGTGATTCTTGATTTTATCTTGGGTTCGCTGCATTTGTCATAACACAAACCAAAAGGATTGACATTGTAACAATATAAATTATTGCAAACTTGAATAGAAAATTTCACTAGCTCATTTGTTTCACAACCAACAGTGTGTTGCGTCCATTACAGCCAAAGATTGCAAGAAGATCAGCAAGATTGTCCCATTGATATATCAAAACATAGAAGAAAATGTAAATGAATGAAAAAGTATGTAAGAACCTGTATAGCATATTTTATCCCACTTCTGCTCCAGTAATGCAGTTGTTTCTGGAACAGCCCCCTCCACAACCTTGATTGCAGAGCTGTCCATATATTCCCCTACGAGTTTTGCAAGCAATGAGGATGTAGCTGGAGCAATTTCTGATGGTTTTAAAACCACAGTATTACCAGCCGCAACAGCTCCAATGACTGGATCAAGTGATAACACTGTAAAAGGAACATCGGAACCAAAAAACAAATTAATGCTACCACTAGAATTATTCTTATGCCATACATTGATTCAATAATTCTACACACATGATAACAAGAAAAGTTCGGTTCATACAACTGTGAATGAGCAAAAAAATTATTCTATGCAGAAAAAGGGCAAAAAAAAACCATTGCAGACAAAAAAAAAATGGAATTTGTTTCAAAAAAAAATTTGCACATGAAATTAGCAACCATCCCTGTTCTACGAAATGTTCTAGACAACATTACAACTTTAATTTGTGATTAGAAAGGAAAAGGATATAAATCTTTTTCTAGATTGTTGACAAGGTATGGTCAGTTCAATTTTACTTAACTGTCCCATGTCGCCCAAATTGTGTAAATTGGAACTTGCTTTTCTTTTACTAATTGTTAAGGGAATGCTTTCATTCTTTCTTTTCCATGGTCCAAGGTAAACAATTTTCAATGGTTTTTCCATCTCTCCAAGCCTAACGTTGGTAACTGTTCATCATGCTCGAGGTGCATGCATATCTTTAGTATTCTCTAACAGAGTCTGGTAAGAACAGGATTGGACAGGACCAGATATTGGAATTCTAGAAACATTGCAGGCAGATGACATGCATTTTAGTGTAAGAAATTTGAGAAGGTAATTTTTGTTTCTAATAGCAACAATGGTGATGGCAATGATTAATACGATAACAATAAACTTTGCAACCATTTTTTGGTTCATTGGTAAATATTTGGGGTATGAAGCATGAGAATAATGAGTCAAGTCTAAGGCAAGCCACTTAAATATATGTACTGCTTGAATTATACAATTAGTGCATAATCATAATGGATTTTCCTTAAGTTAAGCTTTCACAAATACAACGGTTGAAATATCATAGTTGAGGAGTGAAAGTAACTTTAAAAGGGAACCAAAACACAACAAAGATGTAATGTGCAACGGTAATATGGTTCAATAGAAAAACCAAGACATATGTGAATAGCAATCTTTGTTTTCTAAATTACGACTGGAAAATATAAGCTGTGAGGTCAGAGTCAGTACTAAAATATAAATATAAGATGTATAAACTAGGTTTTGGACATACAGAAAGGATAGTTCCATGCTGATATGACCAGTATGATGCCCAATGGTTCTGACACTATTTCTGCTGATGAAGGAAATGTAGTTATTGAGGCTTTTACCTGCAAAACATGGCAATATATTTCATTAAATAATGCTTGACTGAATGAATATTAAGAGGATTAAGAGGACGTGGAACACAACAATTTCCAACTAGTTTAAAGACTTTGAAATGATTACCCTTTCTGACATCATCCACCGCTTGAGTTCCTTGAGTGCCAAAGTAAGTGCGGATTTCAGCAGAGCAATCTGCATGATAAGTCATCTCAATCAAATTCCAAGGATGAAAACATCAACCGCAATATAATAGTATGGAACAAGTACTACATGTAGAATCTTAACGAGGGAGTAGTTATTGCACCAAAACATTCAAGAAACTAAAAGACTCTAAGCACTCTTTCAAAAATTGGTGGCTTCTTCCTCATATCCAGCAAAACATTATATAATGTAGGTACCAACGAAGTCTTTTTATATAAAACTCTTACACAAGCTGTAATTTTACTCCTGAATAGCTTTTAAACAAATCAACTGGTTATAGTGTGAAAGGATTTATAAATATTCATAATGGTCATATACATATGTTGTTGGGTTCCATGGTTCACAAATGTCTGATAATAATGCAGAGTCCCCTTCTCCCGGGAAAGGGGCACTTTTTGGATAGTTAACATTGCAGTGAGATCCTGAGTAAATCAGATCATTTTCAGTATTAAGTTCAGTTTTAAAATGATCTACAATTATTATACTGTTGTGGAAAAAAAAGAAGAAGAGTCAATTCCACTTACGGTTCAACTTTCAACATGTCATTTCATTTCATTTCATTCTTATCAAGTCAAATTCACATGAAATTGTGTGAGACATCCAAAGGCAACTAAGAAATTGATTTAAACAGAACTAAGCACCATTTTCTGCAACTAAGAAACAAAAGCACAACCATTAAGTCAGAAAGTAACTAAAGTACTTGAAATCCAGAATGCCTTCAAACATGTATCGAATATCATACAACTCGAGAAGCATGTAAGTGTCAACGAAACAATCTCAAATCATTCGTCATATTTTGAAAAAAAATTCCCACTTCTTCACTAAGCAAAGAAACTCCAAATTTATCCCAGAATCTCCAAAAATTTCAAAATAAAAACAATTCCAAACTTTACAAAGGATTCTTGGCATTTAAGAAAGTTCAGTATTTACTTGACACAAATCTAATATGAGAACAGCATCTTTTTATGCCATTTATACTAGTTACTAACTTACTTCCAAGCCTTTAGCTCAAAGGGCATTTTCTTTACCCATATGGGAGGGTGATAATTCAAGTTCCCATAGTGCAATTATGGGTGGGTGTGAGAGTTGGGTGTGCGAGTATATATATATATATATCATATTATATATATAGCCATTAAGTTATATTCTTATCATTTACTAAAAATTGTTCATTGCATACTCATCTCGTGTATGTCATGTATACAATGTAAAATTGTCTTGAATAAATAATAGTTGCACACATATTTCCAAGATTGTTGAAATAACTTCTCTGAAGAAGTGTCTGGGTTATATATGTCGTTTGTCGGAATGTTTGAGATGTATAGATTAACAGTCCACCCCTATCGGATTTTGAAACTATTTCATGAGGTGTCCAACACATGTTGTGTAATACACGTATGACATGGCACCTTTGTAAAAGTACTTGTGCTCCTTAGAGCTGTTCCAGCCAATGTATCACTTCAGATATATCTTTAAAGTTGAATAAAAGCAAAACCATAAAACTGCAAGAATTTTTTTCATTAATGGAGACCTGACAAAAATATTGTTTCAAGCATTTAATAGCAACTGCTGAATTTTACCCAGACCGAAATGTTACAAATTGCCATCATGGAAACCTTGGTGTCATAATAAATGCTCCATACCTCACAACTACAAGTGTAATTCTTCATGTCTAAAAGAATTTTATGGACACTTAGTGCCTCCAACTTTTAACACATAAATATCATATAAAAGATATCAATAATTGTAATTAAGTTTTGCAGCTAAAAATAAAAATAAATAAATAAATAACAAAACAAAGATTAAAAAAATAATAAAAATTAATTCTATTTGTCTCTGTTGGAACTTGGAACAGCAATATGGCCCACAGGATTATGCATTCAATTCTGGAAGGAGTTATCCATACTTGGAACAGTAATATGGACCACGGGATTATGCATTCAATTCTGGAAGGAATTATCCATTGCGTTCTGATGTAACAGATTTTCATTACCAAACAGGTGAGGTCGGTCAAACCTATTAACCAAAATTCCTCTACCCAACAGAACAAAAACGTCTAAAATTTCACAGTACCGAAAGAAAAACAATTTGATCAAGTAGAGAGTCACAAGTTGTATTCAATAATCAAAACAGCTAATTCAATCAATTCATCGAACATATCATATATAATCCACAAATATATATCCATTTCGAATCTGATGCGAAAACGAAGATGGAAAAAAAGAACGAAACAGAGCACGAAAACGATTGGAAATGGAGAAATGTTGAAGATCGAACCTCGTAGACGAAACATTCGTGTTCAGGTTTGGAGAGGTCGGAACGAAGAGCGTCGACGATCTCCTTCTCGCGATCTTCAGTCATCTTCAACATACTCTTCAACTGCGAAACTCTCCATTCGTAACTCCTCGTCTTGCCGGACGCGAACGTGCCTCTGAGCTCCTTCACCACTGAAGCCGCAGCTTCTGCATCGAACACCTCCTTCTTCTCATCTCCCGAAGCCATATTAGAATAGTCGTGGAACAACCGCAAGCGTCAAATACAGAGAAAAGTAGAGAGAGAGTAGTCAAGCAACAGTATATGTATATGTGTGTGTATGTATATATAGAGAGAGAGAGAGGAGAGAGGAGAGAGGAGAGAGAGACACACGGCAGAAACGAGGAAGGAGAGCTTGAACAGAGTTGTATTCTTCCGCCTTTTGGGGGCAAGTGAGAGAGTCGATAGAGTATCTATCGTGCCGGCGATAAGAAATAGACAAATATTATATATAATGTATTTTGAAAGTTGAAATATTATATATATAGCCTTTACCTTTTTATATATAGTACAGTATATGATATAATATTTTCTTTTTCTTTTTCAGAAAATAATATAAATTAATTCTTTTCCTTTTTTATAAAAATAATATAACTGTCGATCCGTATTTATTACTGACCGGAGGTAATGCAATTACAACCCTATTACTTACTAGTGTTTTAATCAATATTTAATACCTAATTGATTTTTAAAATTCACATTTTTATCGTTTTAATCAATTTTTAACACCTTATTTCTGTTTTAAAAATCAATGCACACTTTTATTATTTGTCGTGTGACAAATATAGAGCTAAACAAAAATATTATTATTTTGTCGGAATCATGTGATTTTGATCAATTTTTAATTGATAGGTAAATAAATATATCAAATTTATTTAACTTTTTATTTGCATGTCAGTTAGTGATTATACGATAACTACGTAATTTCAAATTATATAATAATTTTTCATAGATTAACACTTAAAATGATATAAATTTTATTATCAAAACATATCTATCATTTTTATAATAGGAAACTAGGTATTTTGATTGGTCAGGTTTTTATCAATATTCAATGTGAAATACTTTAACGCTCGGCTTATAATGATATGACATAATTAATTAATTAAATACTAATAAAATGGAGTAATAGAATCTACTAAATAAATTCAAATATCGCCGTATATCACCCGCGTAATGTTTGGTACGCAAAATAAGCCAGATTATTATTTTTTTAATTTTTATTTATTAGTATTCTTTTTAAAAAAAAATTAAGCAAAATTGCACACCTATGCTTGAGACTCAAAACCCAGCTAAACTATTGCGGATTTGGTAAAATAGGCCAGTTTTTGGTTTATTGGTAATTTGATATGGGTACTTCTAAAACAGTATTTTTGACGCTATGTACAAGCGCGTGGGTTGCTGATTCTTTTGTTCCACGTTACTAATTAAATTTTATTTTATTTTTTTTATCGGTATCGGTATTCATTTCGTGTCGGTATTCTCTAGATGTTGATGTATACCCATGCTTTGAATTTTGATTATTATATCCATATTTTGATCAAACTTCGACGCTTTACATGTATGGTCTCTTTCGTTGCGAGGTTGTGGAGCCAAGTTGTCGGTTAAATATAATAATCTTCATCATAAATTTAGGAATAAAATTACAGAAATAATTATTCAATCTTTCTCTAATAACGAAATTAATTTATATGAATTTTTCTTTTGTTACTGTCAACGCAATTCAATGACGGATTTTGATTATCTCATGAATTAATAAATTAAAATTATCATATTATTACTCTTCGTCTATCTCATCTCTTTCACATATACAGATGGGTACTATAGTCATTTATCATAATAATTAATATGTTAGTGGATTTGACGGTTCATAGCTAGAAAAGAAGGTTTGTGTATGTTAGTTTTATTTTTAGAGAAAGTCTGAGTAATTTTCAAATTACGAGACAATACATGTAATTATGGCAAATGATATAGAGATCAATGTAATTTATCCTTTATTATTATTATTATTATTATTTGGCGAGTGTATTGTTCAGTCTCATCCATTTTCATGAAAATTCAAGTTTCGTTTGTTGCCAGTATCAATTGATAAAAAGAGTTTATGTGAGGGTGAAACAACCAAGAATTAAGCTAATGGAATGCAATGATTTTTATGAAATGTAACTATTACATATAAAATCAACTATTTACTTTTGACTTTTGTACATGTTGATTTTAAAATCCAACTACTAAAATTTTCTATTTTATCAAACAATATGTTTTTCAAATGACTCAATCCAAAATTAGAAATTGGCAATTTAATTTAGTCAAATCATGTCAGAGATAGAGAAAATAAAAGTTTGATTAAAATTTTAACATATTGAAAATGAATTTTGGTATGAAAATTTTCAATTACAATCCTTAATTATATAACAATCTTTTAAACTATACCAAGTTTGATCATCTTATTACATTCATGAATTGGTATGTAAACGATTTTAAAAGAGGCCTCGTCCGCTTCACACTGAAAAATGAAATCAAAAAATGCGACATTGGATTAGCAAATGGTATATACAAATTATTTTTAAATTAAATGCAGCCAAATTGATTTTACTGTACCATATTATATATATATATATATATATATATATATATATATATCACATTTTAAGATGACATTTATCTTTTTTTAATATCACATTTTCCTTTGCACAATTTATATCTACATAACCATCCTACAATTTATCTCCATAATATGATGATAATCTGCCTAATTATATCTTCGTTCCTAATTATAATCTGCCTAATTATATCTGCCTAATTACTCTAAGTTTCATATTATTAAAATGATAAATTTTCTTATTTTTATTTAAAAAAATCATGCTAAGCAAATATAATTTTTTTTTTTTCCCCATTTAATTTCTCTCCACTATCAATTTCCATTTCTAACCAAAAGGAGTCAAAAGGAAATTTTGGTACCTTACTATTACGTGCATAGTAACCTCTTAACATATTTACAACCAATTCTTTGTTCGAGTATTTATTTCATTAATCTCCAAAATTTTAATAAATCCAATCAATTTTTTTACATAACATATATTTATGACTTATTACTTAAAAGGATTATGGTCCATTAAACCACATAATCTTGTAAATATCAAATGGAGTTCATTGTCATTGCTGTAAATAACTGTGCTGGACTAATTTAATTATTTGTAATCTTAGGTATGAACTTCTTTTGAATTTAAATGACTCCAATTTAAATTCACAAGATAAGTAATATTTACCCTCACTTTTCTTCGCATACACTACACTTGTTTTACCTAAAAAATGAAATGACATGGTTATTCTTAAATTCACGCTCCAAGTTAATTTTATTTCAAAAAATAATAATAACAATTTTTAGGGGTAGCATTATCATTTCATTTATTAAAAAGTTGAATGCTGATATTATAATTATTTCCCCATTTAAAATAAGGATAATTCATTAACTATTAAAAAAGGAAAGCTGATAAAAATAAAAAAAATAAAAGACTATTAAAAATAAGAAAACTTTCAAAATATAATAAAATTATGAAAAATACAAATTCCACTTGCAAAAATTTAAAATTTTGCCTGCATGCCAGAAACCATTCAAATTTCGTTGTTTATAGAAAAAATTAAAAAAAATAAATGTATTCAAATTTCAATGTTTATAGAAAGAAAATAAAGATATAAATGTATTAAATTGAACAAAATTTGTCAGAATATTAAATTTAATCTTACGTTTTTACTCATCCAATCCATCTTAATTGCTTCACCTAATATTTTGGAGGTATGAAGTTCAAATCACATTGGGGCCATTGCAGGGAATTTTGCTTTTAGAGGCCAGACACCATCATCATTGAAAAAAAAAAAAAAAAAACTTAATTACTTATTAAAAAATAAATTTTGAAAAATAATAATAAAAGGGCCCAACTATATTAAAAATAAGCATGTTATATGATGGTTAAGCTAATAATTTGACTGTAAAAATTGTATTCCCTCCTAAAACCAAAGGTCTCACTATATTCACATATTTGTGCATGGACACACAACTATCCCAACACGCCATGACTTTTATTTTTTGCTATGCCTTAACTCTTAAGGTGGCAAATTTTGACGCTAACCCGATTCGAACATATGATAAATTTGATATGAAGTTAATTATAGACTATGTACAATGTGATTATTATAAATTGTGTTTTAAATACTTTAAAATGTCTTGAATTGCATTGGCTTGTCAAAGAAATTGTTAATTCAATTTTTTTTCCGTTAGATACATATTCACAAATATTTAATATAGTGCTTGAATCCCTAACCTTGTGAAGATTTGTCCGATAAAAATTCATAAATATTTATTATAGAGCTCGAATCTCTCACCTTAACAGGAGTTGTACCAATTATCCACAAAATTTGAGATTGGGGTGAGGAGTTGTACAAATTAGACGAATGAGAATTTAAGAATGTTAGCCAAATGCAAATGTTATTCCCACAATGATAAAAATATTATAACAAAATGATAAGTTAGTGTGAAAGTACAAAACTACCTTTCTTTTAAAGTCATCACATAATGAGTTGTGTTTAATTTTCTAAAAACTCCCTAAAACAATAATAAAAATAATAATAAAAAATGAAAGAATTTAGAAATTAATGTTCAAAAATTTTAAAAGCAAAAAATTATTTTTAAAGAAAATTAGTACGTATAAAACATAAGGATACGCTTGGTTTGTGACTGAATAACTGTTCTCAAGAACTCAAAATTTTTTGTAACTTCTAAGAAGTTTTCAATCAAGCAGGTCTTTTTACATATTTTTTATTTTCATTCTAAAAATAAAAAATAAAAAATTATTCTCAAAAAATTGAACTAAACAGACTCTAGTTATCTAAACTATGAGTTTTTTTTTAATCGTATTCAAGAAACTTTAAACAAAAAGAATTTAATTTGTTTTTCCACTTTTCTTAAAAAAATAAAAAAAGAAGAACAAAAGTGAACCAAAAAAAGTCTATGTGTCTGTCAACCTTTTAAGTTTCAAATATTTTAAATGTGAATCCTCCTTATGAATTAATTCATGAAAGGTTAAAAAATAATTATTATTAATATTTAAAAAAAGAAAAAAAGAGTCATGCAAAATGTGCTTTAGTTACCTTTGAGTATGTATCTCAAATTGTTAAATATATTAAAGTCCAACGAACACCTCCGCTTCTCTCTCCCGGAGCGTGTACTCCACTACACCACCGGCTGAGAGTGGAACTTGCTTAACTAATCCTTTGTAACTATCTAAAATATGAGTCCCACTGAATCAGAGTTGTTTTGGCATCGATCAAAAATTTCACATCATGGCGAATATAATGAAATAGCTTCACAGATCATATACATCGTACGTATTATAATAATTTATTACGTGGCCGGAAAGGAACTATAGATCC